CCCTTTCAGGGAGCGCAAGCTTACAAGCAGGGTTGAGGTGCTTACTATGAGGCTTTAGGGTTTAGAGGTTGCTATCAGTATCAGAGTTACATACTCTGCTTCATGGAAACAGCATCCACTACCAGCCGCCATAAACGAAAGGGAACACCACTTCTCAAGTTGCAGGAGCCTCCAACCCTTGTTCGTCCCGCTTGGCTGCGGGGCAGCAAGTGCTCGTCACCTTTTGGGTTTTCAGGTGGATGGAGCTGTTGAGACGGAGAGATGAGCAGAAGCGCATCAGGAAGACAAGATTATGCATGGATTGAGGCGATGAAGATTGGGCTTCGAAGGACGTTGCAGTGTCGGGCTTGATAGAGAAATTACGGTGACTACTGGCCTGCTTGTGGATTGGGGATGCTTGCGACCCAGAGTCACAGCTCGAGAAAGGCCTGCGCCAAGCGCCCTTTATGAAGACACCGGCGATGGCGAGAACCAGGTAGAAACAGTGAATGTCCAAAGTTACCATGCAAGTGCTCTTGTACAGTATAGCTCACAACTGCACCAACCATCCGAAGCAACCCCCCCGCCATCCAAACACATACAAACATAATCAACCCGACAGCATCTGGCATCAGTCAAGCCACAGTGCAGGCTTTAGACAACCACCACCGACCCCGGAAAACGCTAGCACAACATATTCATTGACATTCCCCTAAAGGATAGTTGCCCACAGAAGTATAATTTTCTGTTCCGATACAACCACAAAATTAGAATAGCAACGCCTTGACTATCGGGGAACTGGTCTTCCTTTGGGAGCACCCCACGCCTCAACAAAAAGGTGCAGCTTCTGGTCATCCTCGTCCGATTCTTGTAGATCTGCTTCTGCCTCCATCGCGTCTGCTTTCGAAGGAAACGCCTGGTCGAGCGAATCATTGATGCTAATTGTGCTATGACAAGCAGCTACAAGTTGCGAATACCCTAGCCCCTAACCCCTACACCCTACATCGGGGTATTGCCACAGGATAAGGGGGCATTGATTGCGTACATACCCAAGCACATGTATGTCTTACCTGGCGCAGCGCTCTCTACTTCAGCTCTGCCGCAGCATTGCGGGATCATGTTGACGTCCATGGCTCTTTTCAAAACACTTTTCAAATCCCCACAGGTCATCCGAGGCTGCCCATAGCCTGAACTCTAAATCCTTTTAGGGATCTGCAGGGCTCTGCGTGTTGCGGGGGCCAGCAAGCATCAAGGCTCTGCACGAGTCTGTTTGGAGTTGTTACTTGGCGCCGTGGGTTCTGCCCAAGATTATTTACAATTCTATACTCGCACCTTCAAAACATCAACCGTGACCCGTGCTTCTGTATGTGTGTGCAAAAATCGAAGGTATTCCGATCTATGCAGGCTCTGGCCAGTGTCATGAACCTGCAGTGCCCCTGGGCCGACCGACATGTACAAACTTCTACAGACACAACAACTCGAAGCCCCCAAGAGACAACAGAACCAGCAAATTCCACGACTTTCCTGTAGGAGCCGTCATATTTGGAACGGGGTGTTATGGGTATTTTGCGTATTGCGGTGACTTTTGCTGCAGTATTCGAATCTCTTTATTAAGCTGTCTACCGCACCCCCGACACCTTAAACTTCAACCCTGTAAACCAGCATAAACTCGTAAAAGGAACCTTTAAGGAACCCTGTACCAAGTCTTAAGAGCCCTACGGATGAGCGCTGCCTCCAGGCCGTGCCCGGCCCGCTTTGCTGAAGAGCAGCAGGCACCCATTGCCTCGCGACTTCGTGGGCTTGAAGAGAAGCTGCAGGTCCAGTTTAAACAGGGTTTAGGCTTACCTAGAGGCTCCATAGTAGTTCCTTTTTGGGGTTCATATTTAGAATCCTATTAGGTAATCCCAAAAAGGAACTACTTTGGGGCGTATGGGTAGGGCTTACGACTCAGGGCTCAGAGCTCTTTTTGAATTTAGGGCTGCAGGTTCGCAATGACCTGTGTGACAGCCAGAAAATAGATGAACGAGGCGCCTCTCCACACTAAAGGGTGTAGAGTTGAGGGGCAACCCTACCCTAAACCCTAAACCCTGAACCCTAAACCCTAGACCCTAAACCCATAAGCCTAAGCCCTGCCGAGAAGCTTTCCACGCTGCTGACTTGAACAGCTCACACGACGAAGCAGAGGAGCATCAAGGGTCCATCGCAGCGGAGCGCTTAGGTTCGAATCTCTAGAGCTTTCGGCTTTTATATTGGGGGTACCAGTGCCTCCTGGCAATTTGGGGTTCAGGGGGAGGTCCGGAGAATTACAATGCAATACCACAGCAACATAGATGTTTTAGAACCCCAGCGAAATCATAGTGTTTCGGACCCACATCTTGTACGGTCTACGAGTGGATCACAAACCCCGCAGAATGTCACAACCCGGCCGTTTAAGTGCCCTGCCATGGTTTGCTACTACGGCTTTCTAGGAGAAGGGCTTACCTGAACCCCAAACATATAACCTACCTTATTAGGATTCCGTGTTATGATGAACTACCTTATTAAGATTCCTTATTATGATTTCATTTTGCAAATTCTTAAAAAGTTTTCCAGGGTCCAGCTTGGGCCTCAGGTCGAAGTTGGAAGAGGCATGAGCAAAACCAGCTTCACAAGTCTGTGACGCAGGAAGGTTTCGTGTTCACGGCTGCGAGGGATTTAGGGTTTAGGGCTAAGATACACCTTAACCCCCGAAGAACCTACATTTTTAAGGACTTAGATAAAGAAATCATAATAATGAGCCCTAAAAAGGTAGGTTATTCAGGGTTAAGGCAGGGTCTAGTCAAGCCGGAGCCTGCAGCGGCAAAGGCAGCCCTGAAGCCTAGACTGCAACATTCCAGACCTGTAAACTCCCAAACCCTCCAAACCCTCGTAGTGCAAAAACCTATGGTTTTTTTTTTTAACCTATGCTCTTAAACCCTGCAAACTTCAAAATCCTAAATCTCCGAAGCCTGGAACACGAAAACGCTGATACGCCAGCAGTAGTGTACTTGTTGATGACGTTCACCGGCGGCCTAGGATAAGAACAACAGCCTGCAGCGAAAATGCAAGGAGCCTCAACGTGACCGAGACCAACGGTCCACGCAACACGGTCTTATAGATTATAGGGGTAGCTATGCTCATAACGGCTCGTCGTCAGCCGCCTCTGAACTAAGGTCAAACTGGGCGCGGGTTTAGGATTGTGGTATAAGGTATGAACCGAGCTTTAGAAGGCCATTTTCATGTCTGTTGTGGGAAAGAGGTGTCGGATGAAGGGTTTCCGATCTCACGCTTTGCGCTCCTGGCTTCGAGTTGAGGGCTCGCAGGGCCGGATGGGATTGTTTCGGTATTGCACCTGGGCTTTCAGGCTTAGGGCTAGGCGGCCATTGTGCGCACCACCTAGGCGCCTGCAGCCGGCGCAACGCACTGAGACCCTGAACGATTCAGCTTCGCAAGATCCTCCCTGCGAACTCCCTCGCTGTTTTCCCGCCGCTTCGGCAGCATCACTCGGCTATCACAGGACCCTATGTAGGGAGATGTTGGCACTGTGTCTTGAATACAGGCACGTGCTTCGTGCCTGTTCCATGGCCGTTTTGGGAACAAGTCGTCTCAACTGGTGCGATCTAATCTAGGCGACAGTCTTGACCACGCATCCCAAACCCCCTACAAACCCTAAACTCCAAACTCTAAAACCGTACCCTTAAAGCCTGTGCCCTTACAATCTAGACTTCTGCTTTAAATGTTTTAAATTCAAAACAGAGCCTGTACCCTTAAAGCCTAGACCCATTTCAGGGGTGAGGATTCTGCGGAGTCTGGGACTTCGGCCTTGGAAGCTTCAGGATCCCAAGTCGGTAGAGGAAAGACTAGAAGAGTTTAGGGTTCCTTCTTTTTTTATTAAAAAAAACCCTAAACTCTACACTTAAATTAAGTGTAGAGTTTAGGGTAATTTTTGAAAGTGAAGAGTTCAGGGTTTATGGATTGGGGTTATAGGTTTAGGGATTGGGGGTTTAGGCTTTATCGGGTTTAGGGGTTTTATAGTTTTAGGGGCTTCGGGCTTCTAGGGATTATAGGGTTAGGGTTTAGGGTTTACCTGGACCCTATAACCTTAGGGCACCCTACTGTGATGTCTTTCTGTAGGTCCCTAAAGACGTAGGCTACTTGGGGTCCAGGTAGGGGTTACGGGTTTAGGGTGCATCAGGACCCCTCCCAAGTGCCCTTCAGAAGAGCTCCTATGCTATTTAAGAAGGGGTGTGATTTATAAAGTGCAATAGAGGGTAGTTGGGGGTCTAGGCCAGGAGCATAAAGGACCAAATATGGTTTCGGGGGATATGCTAATGTAGCATGGGACAATGGCGACACAAAGAGGGCTGAAGTAGTGGACTAGGGTTTCGATGATGTGCTGAAAGACCTTGATTGTGCGTCATCTTTCTGGCTTTTACACCCAACAATAAACCCTAAACTCTATAGCTAGAGGCTCCATCGTAGTTCCTTTTGGGGTTCATATTTAGAATCCTATAAAGATAATCCCCAAAGGGAACTACTATGGAGCCTATGGGTAGGCACTAAACCCCTACACCCGTAAATCGGCCCTAAACGGAAACGTTTCTTACTAAAGTCAGACCCTTCTTCCATGGCCCTGGAAGCGTAGCCATTCAGGCAGCAAGGCTGGTAATCAGCAAACGGAGACTCCAAAACAGAATTGAGGAGTAGACGACCCTACAGTCATTCTCTGAATCACCCTCCCATTTAAGGCTCGTGGGTTCAGGGCTTGGGGTCTGGGGTTCAATCATCATGTAGACCCCCACTCTAATTAAGGGTCCATTCCTTCGAGTAAGATCACTGTTTATATTCTCATGATTGTAATTGATATCATTGTTTGTTTTAGTAATATCATGACTATATGGTTACTATTGCAAATGTTGTCGCTCTTACTTTTAGCATTATTATGACTATCATTTCTTATTACTATAATCCTTAGATTGAAGTGCTCTCTAGTCTCGGGGCCCTCAAGGACTGTGATGCTCCAGGTGCGCGATCCGCGCCTCCGTGGCTCAAAGTGGCTTAAAGAAGCGGTTCAGGGCTTTCAAGGTTTAGGGTTTAGGTTCAGGGCTTGCAAGGTTTGGCGTCCTTATGATAAGGATCCGACCATTTAGGGTACCATATATTAGGAAAACTCCCAAGTGGCTTAAAGAAGCGGTTTAGGGCTTTCAAGTTCTGGGGTTTAGGGGTTTAGAGGTTTACATGTTTAGGGGTAGAGGTTCCGAGTAAAGGTCGCCAGCAGACCGTAATCCGCCGATTTGGAATAGAATTTCCCGCGTCGCAAAGCATGTGTTCCACGCATCACCCCTGGAAAACCTGTCCCGGTGGGAAGTGCATTCCATGAAACACACCCCTCCACAGACAGCCTCCACAAAAAAAAAACACGGGCTGAACAAGTATTCCGGTACGGGTTGGGTACGGGTTCTGTCCGCGTACAAACTATAATCTGAGCACGGTGCATTTTATTGTCACCATCATGTTTGGTATGCATAATCATTTCTCACCGGTTGTGCGTTCACCATGTTTTTGTGTACCATTGCGGGTTCCACCAGCCCGAGAAAGTATCCCGAGCCGGGAGAACAAGTAATCTCCAGGCATACGGGCACCTGCTCGAAATGTAGGCCGCCCACTGGCGACAAAAATCTATTCCAGCCTAGAAAGTAGTCCGATCAACAGGTATAAGTCTGCCAGTTTCACAAAATCGAGTTTTTGTTGCTTAATGTGTTGGAATGAAAAAAGTAGACCCACGCACTTCCGGGTAGGGTTGTTTAGGGGTTTAGGGTCTTGTAAAAGCACACAAATGTTGGGGCTGCGGTGCTTGGATATAAGGGCGGCTTCAGGCTATTCTCACCCTTGTAGGATGTCACCTGAGAGTTGTCACATTTTGAGCATTGGCGTGGATCCCGATGCCCTGTCATTATGCGGCAACAGAAACAGGAAAGTCAGAGCATTTCCTATAGGATCCTGAAAATAACCTAGGATGTCCACATTGACACTGACATGAAGTTTACCCAAACAGACGCTGCATCGTCAAAGACGATAGACAGAACTGACATGCCCTCAAACTGCCGATACTCCTGGGTTATGTCACAGTCACAGTCTGTAGCCCGATCATCCATCGCATCCCAAGGACACTTCGGAAAATGCCAGGCTTCACGGATCCCTGTCGTGACTATAATACGCTTGTTTGCGGGGATACTGGTCCTGACCTCTAAAACGCCAAACCCTCAAACACCAATAGGCCCGTGCAGCTCTGAATCCTAAACTGCCCCAGACCTCAAAGCCCCTCAACCCTCAACCCTAACAACTCTAAGCTTTAAGACTCTAAAAGTCCCTTCGCCTAGAGACTGCAGAACCCCTGAATTAAGGGATATTTAGGGGCTAAGGGTTTAGGGCTAGAAGCCTCCACTGATAGTTGATACGTAATATGGGGGCCTTAATAAGTGGAATAGGGTTTTTGGGCCATTATACTGTAAATATTATATATATATATGGCCACTAAAGTAGCAGGATTCCTGATGCGAGTCCACTTCCTTGGTTGACAGGAACTGCCCCACCTCCTCCTCTGCGATGTGTGTTCCGAGGATGCCGACAGAGAGGCCGCTGGATTTCGCCACGAGGCCATCCACGACGAAGAGCTGGAACACCTCGACCGCTAGGGTTTAGGGTTTAGGGGTTCAGGGTTGAGGGTTCGGGCCTTCTTTTATGCTTCCCAAAGGGCCCAAGTATCATTCTGGCATATACTCATAGGGTATTTTGGGGGGTCTAAAGTATCTACCAGAATGATACTTGGACCCTTTGGGTTTTATACTTGCATTCACGTTCCTTGCCTGATCTGCCCGCCTACTAGCTTTAGGGCCGAGCGTCTCCGGGTCAAATATTTGGGTCTCTACATTGAGAATTGAGAAAGTGTCTGGTGCGGTCTAGAGTGGTGTAGTGTGAGGGGATAGAATTACAAACTGCTCAGACTTTCCGATGTCTATCCCTGGGGCTCCAGTCACCTAAATAGTTACTGGGGCACATAGCATATGGTTAGTAACCTACTATTTAGGTAGCTGGAGCCCGATGTCTATCTTACTGCGAGCCGCCGGGACGAGCATGAGGATCCAGTAAATCAGCAGCATGGTCCTCAGCCGCAGTCAACTCGAGGCTGCGATGGACTCAAGGGCCAATGTATGTAATATAGGGGCCTTAATGATCAGAATAGGGCAGGGTTTTGGGGCCCATTGTACTACAATTATAATAAGGACACCCCAAACAGTATTGGTATTTATTGAGGCCCCTGTATGAGTAGAAATGTGAGCAGGCAGAGAGGCGCATCCCACAACAGCGTCCACCGCAAGGGAATGTGGTACTTCACCTTCCGCTCTTTCCTGGCTCCAGGGCTTGTTTGGGCTGGAAACTGGCTCAAGTAACGCATACCTGTAGCCGAAAAGACCTACCTTTTGAAGGAACTTTGTACAGAAATCATAACAAGGAACCCGAAAAAAGTAGGTCTTTTCGGCTACAGCTATGGGGTAGGTCTGCTGCGTAGTTTAAGAATGCAGGCATTGAAACCCTGTGCTGGCTGACATGCCTGGCAACCCTAAACCCTAAACCCCTAAACTGTAAACTCTAAACCCCTAAACTCTAAACCCTAAACCCCAAGTTGAGCCGACACCGCGCTCGCCTTAGCTCCTTGCAGGAGAGAACGTAGTGGCAGAGCTCGGCGATCCGGTCCGAGTCGAAATCCTGCGGTTTAGGGTTTAGGGTTTAGGGTTTAGTTAGGGTTTAGGGTTCCTTAAAGGGCTCCTAAAAAGGGATCTATAGGGGTTCCTTAAAGGGCTCCTAAAAAGGGATCTATAGGGGTTCCTTAAAGGGCTCCTAAAAAGGGATCTATAGGGGTTCCTTAAAGGGCTCCTAAAAAGGGATCTATAGGGGTTCCTTAAAGGGCTCCTAAAAAGGGATCTATAGGGGTTCCTTAAAGGGCTCCTAAAAAGGGATCTATAGGGGTTCCTTAAGGGGATCTATGGGGTTTAGGGTTTAGGGGATACTTAAAGGATCATGGGACTTGGTGACTAGGGTTCCTCACAGGGTTCCTGAAAAGGGATCTATAAGGGCTCTATAAGGAGGGGGATCTATAGGGTTTTTTTTAAGTGCAATATATCTATAGGGTTTAGGGATTAGGGTCTACTTGGGAGGATCATGGGACTTAGTAAGTAGGGTTGTAAGTACCTTCTTTGGGGCTATAAGTAGTTATAAGCTTTGTTACCCTACTTATAACCCTAATTACTAAGTCCCATGATCCTTTAAGTAGTGGCATGGACATGGACAAAGGTTGTACAACGGCGGGCGCTCGAAACCAATACTCGGATAAATCAAACCCCAGCCCAGGTTGCGAAGGATGGCAAGACCAGGTCCAGTGCATGACTAAACAGACATTGAAGAATCAGGCAGCCATCGGTGTCAACATATGGGAGCCTTCCTGATTGGAACTGGGCTTGGGGGCAAAATATTGTATGGCTATAATGAGGACTCTAAGGGGGCTATAAAAGTATTCCGACCCATATAATGTGCTGGCGATGCTGTCGGATTTCGATGTCTTTTCCGCACGAACTATGCAGCACGCAATCGTCCCTCGTCACAGCAACCAGCCCTGCAACTTGTACCGAGACATTCCCCGCTTGCTGTCCACTTATCATCCACTACTGCACTCCCACCCTACCTAGAGGCTCCATAGTAATTAGTTCCTTTTTGGGTTTCATATTTTACAATCCTATAAGGTAATCCCCAAAAGGAACTACTATGGAGCCTACGGGTAAACGCTGATGCGCCACCACAAATCCAAACTTCGCACTTCGAGCTCTGGCCTGTGTGGAGATGAAATCCAAATCGCCCTCCACCTGGCCATGAGGTCTAAACTAGGGTCCCTTTAGGGTCCTTTTCATGAAGGTGCCCTACTATTTTGGGGATCCTAAAAACGGGCCCCGATTTAGTTCCTCGCGAACTCCGCGCTAGAAACTTAAGTCCGCGACCTGCCCAGCAAATCTCGAGTCTAGTACAGTTCTTGAGGACATGCCCCGACATGGGTGGTTGTCAAAGTTAGGGTTCCTTTTTGGGCACCCTAAATAATAGGTGCCGTACTATAATAGGGACCCAAAAAGGGACCCCAATTTTGACAGCCACCCACATACAGACGCCATGTTGTTTGGGCATTCAATAGTGGACAACTTCAGCACGTTGCAGACAAATTTCGTGGGACAACGCAAATCGAGCACCATGAAATCTATGCTCCAGGCTATAAGCCATGATTCGAAAATGCGAAACCCTACCCTAAAGCCGAAGCCGTCAATCCCAAGGGCCCGCCCCCTGAACAGCGAGCCTCGTGCAGTCGGAGAATGAAGAGCAGGCCCAAAGCCTGGGTTCGTGTTAAAGGGTTCAGGGTGAAGGCGGTATAGACTTAGGGTTAAGGAGTTCAGGGCTTAGGAGTTTCAACTACCTAGAGGATCCATAGTAGTTCCTCTTTGGGGTCCATATTTAGAATCCTATAAGGTAATCCCAAAAAGGAACTACTATGGAGCCTGTGGGTAAGATACAAAGAGGGGATCTATAATAGAAAATCTACAATACACTAACAAATGGTTGCCATGCTACCGCAACTTATTATGGAGTTTAATCAGTTCAGTCTAAGACGTCATCATACGGATCTACTTAAAGCTAATAGGCTTCCAAGTTACGGTAACCCTAGATCCTGAGCCGTTAAACTAAGAACATGTAAGCTCCCACAATTGGGATCCATAGAAACTGCTACTGCTGCCTTGTCCCTAAAACTTGAACACGACACGTAAGTTACCATAATGGGGATCTATAGCAGATGACATTGCCCCCTTATTACGGTAACCCTATAAGCCCTCCATGTAACTTACCATAGCCATAGGTATCTATAGTAAACCAATACTAAACACTAAGCCCGTAGACGTTTTAGGGATCTATGGCAACAAATGCGGTCACCTTGTTACGGTAACGTAAACTACCCACAGGCTGTATAGTAGTTCCTTTTTGGGATTACCTTATCGGATTCTAAATATGAACCTCCAAAAGGAGCTACTATGGAGCCTTTAGGTAACTTCCTTGACAAGAGCCCAGGGGCATCGAAGCAAATGTCCTTAGGACTGCCCGCGAAGCTGAAGACCAATACCTGGGATTTAGGGCTTCTAGGGCTAGGGTTTAGGGTTTACCTTAACCCTGAAGGACCTACCGTTTTAAGGACTTATACAGGGAGATCATAATAAGGAACCCTAAAAAGGTAGGTTATCCAGGGTTCAGGTAGGGTTTAGGGGTTCAGGGTCTGGGGTTTAGGGCTTCTAGGGCATTTTGAGGTTTAGGGTTGCGGTTAAGGGTTTAGGGTTTAGGGTTCAGGGCTTCTAGGGCATTGTGGGGTACTATAGGGGGGGTAAATACTTAATTACCAATAATACTGTATATAACCCTAAACCCCAAAAGCAAGTCCAATCAACAAGGCCCCTAAATTGTTGGGTTCAGGGTTAAACCCTAAACCCTGGCACCCGTCAGATATGGGGTTTGTTTAGGGGTTCGGAGTCTGAAGGGCATAGGGCGTGGGGCGGTAGGGCTGCAGCTGATGAGATCGTAAGTTACTGGGCTACCGCGTAGTGTGCTACATTTACCCGTAGGCTCCATGGTAGTTCATTTTTGGGATTTCCTTATAGGTCTCTAAATATGCACCCCAAAAAGGAACCACTATGGAGCCTCTAGGTAGGTATATAAAAAGAAGTCCTATAGGCCAAGGCGAGCTACAGCGGCGACAGGCTTTAGGATATCGGAAACCTTGAAGCAAAAGCAAGAACCCAGCAATAGAGCGTGTGGCCTCATATCTCTGAGGATGAAACCCCTCAACCCCTAAACCCTAAACATTTGGACTCCAGCAGCCGTCTGCGAGATCTGGTCATTTGGGCCGTTAGTTGTTCGTATCGAGGGGTTCTCATGACTTGCAGGTTCACTTAAGTGTGAGATGCTTTTTATAAGGGTACACTTAACTTTAGGGCCAAAGTACATATACTACAGATAAGCCTGGTAGATTTTTGAGGGTCGGAGGGAAAAGCAGGTGCGAAGTTGGCAGCAGGAATTTTCGGGAACTGGGCTTGCGAAGAATCCCGCAGCTCCATGCCTCTTGCCGACGCGGAGCCATGGCAATCAACGAGACCATCGTCAAGTAGCAGGTCATGAAGCCGTCCAAGAAAAGGTACCTTAATTAGTTGGTGTCGACTTGATGAGACCTACACTTTGTGACCTTTAGGTCGGTAATTCAAAAATCCCGGAAATCCGACATGATTGGGATTGGGGGTGTGGTCTTGCACTCCAAACCTCGCAGTTGGCATCACCCCATGGGCACGCACAAGTTAGCGCCGACCTTGAAGCATATCTCCGCACGCAAAGCCAGCAGCCCTCGTGCATGAACAGAAAGTCCAGCAATTGCCGTCAATGAGTCAAGGGGCACGTATGTCCACGGTGGGATTTGAATGGACTCTTCTGGAAGGTTGCTGATGAGCAAGAACCTTCGTTGAGTTTGCAGGGCTCTGTAAAGCAAGTATAGCCGACAACCCCGCAGGACACCTGGACCACACTGTGAGCCCATGTGGTTCAAACCTCCAGACGACGGAGATGTCACAGGACAACTCCCCAAAATACGACTGAACACTCTTCGAGTCGCAAAGACTGGTTGCCTTTGCATGCCTGGGCCGCGGAGTGGAGGAGAAGCCCAACAGTTGCACCCTCGTGCTTTCCAGGATCTCTTCATAGCTGTATCAAGAGCAATCGTACGGAACTTTATGTAAGCTGCTATAAATGGGGACTTGTCGTCAATAATGTGGTTTCCTTATCATGGTAACTTAGACTTGTTGGCACGGGCTCAGACTTCCGTGTTTGGTCGTCAAGCACAGGCTAAACCCTAAACCCCTAAACCCTGAAAGCTAAACCCTGTGGGCACCAAACGACAGGCCTTCAATGGGCAAAGTCCCACTTGCCCCTAAAACACCTCTAGAAGTCTGTAGAACCCTCTTCAACACCCTATACTACTTAAAGGATCATGGGACTTAGTAGCTAGGGTTCCTTAAAAGGGCTCCATAGTAGGGATCCATATGGATTCTACAAGAGGGGTTTTAGGGTTACTTAAAAGACCATGGGACTTAGTAACTAGGGTTATAGTAAGGGTAACGAGACTTATAACCCTAATTAAGGTACTGATAACCTTACTTACTAAGTCCCATGATCCTTTAAGTAGTAGAGCCCTTATAACTTATGATAGGCTTTTATAACCTGAGACACCCAATAGAGCCCATATCAACCCTAAACCCTGAAACCTGGCCTTCCTCGTGATGGACATGGCGTGCAAAGAGATGCAGTAGGTGAAGAGGAAGGATAGTAGCCGGCCCAGAACGTGCGAGACGCCGAATTCCAAGTCGCCGAACTTATATTGAACCTTTCACGGCTTAAGGCTCGTAGGTTTCGGGGTTTAGGGTTGATATGAGCTCTATTGGGTGTCTCAGGTTATAAAAGCCTATCATAAGTTATAAGGGCTCTACTACTTAAAGGATCATGGTTATGTTTAGGGCTTAGGGTTTGGCGGCTTAGGGCTCAAGTGTTAATCACAAGCGCAACTCGCTGCATTGCAACAAACCCAAAGGCTCCATGTACCCATATAGTAGGTACTTCGGCCTTAAAGTACCCATATAGTGACCCCTTTAAGGCCTGAGTACCTACTACATGGGTACATGGAGCCTTAGGGAAAGGGGGGTCCGAAAAGCGCTCGAAAACTTGTAAGCTCCCGGCGAGGCGAATCTCTGTGTGTGGCCAGTCCTCGACCAGTGAGTTTAGGGTTTAGAAGTTCAGGGTTTGTGAGTTTAGGGTTTAGGAGTTCAAGGTTTAGGAGTTTAGGAGTTTAGGGTTTAGGAGTTCAGGGCTTATGAGTTTAGGGGTTTAGGAGTTTAGGAGTTTAGGGTCTAGGAGTTTAGGGTTTAGGCGTTCAGTTTTTAAAAGTTGAGGAGTTTCGAGTCTCGGAGTTTAGGAGTTTAGCAGTTTAGGGTTTAGGAGTTCAGGGTTTAGGAGTTCAGGGTTTAGGAGTTTAAGGGCTTAGGAATCTACGGTTCAGGAGCTTAGGGTTTAGGAGTTTAGGCTTTAGGAGGTCATAGGCCTATATGACTTTGACCTTCATCCTTGTGGGCTTTGGGATGAAGGACATCAATACCCATAGGGTCCATAGTAGTTCCCTTTATGGGGTTACCTTATAGGATTCTAAATATGAGCCCCCAAAAAGGAACTACTATGGAGCCTCTGGCCTCTAGGTATAGGCTACAGGGCTTCAAAGAATGCCGAGGGCATGCGACGCAGGTTTAGGGGCGTGGTTTGCCGCCTCAAAGTGTGAGAGACCCTTTACAGCCACATTCCGCACAGGCCTTCAACGCCTCTTCGGGATACATCTTCAGCTGTATACCCATCGGCTCCATAGGAGTTCCTTTTTGGGGTTACCTTATATAGGATTCGAAACTACTATGGGGCTTCTAGGTAAGCCTTTGATCCCCCAAGTGGCCTCTTATAATGATCTGGCAGACAGCAGGTGCACCGGGTCATCAGATGCGTTGATTCCAAGCCTGTGCATGAATCCCAACCTGTACATGATGGCGAATATCGGCAGTCTGCTCGAGGGAAAAGCGGCAAGCATAGTACCTAGTCACCGAGTATAAGGCATACACTTGCAAACCTGAGCTGTATGTAGCTTACAACGTTCTTGAAACCCTTGGATCATGAAGTTTTAATGATGTTCATCCACACGAACCCCTGTAACTACACTCTGCTCGAGACAGTATCACGCACCTCGGCGAGTTGCTCATTGCAGCCGGGCGTCATACTGGTAGTACGACCAGCGGCAGATGGCCATCGGGACCAGGAGTTGGATCAGGAGCACAAACCTGCTCTTGGATAATTCCAGCTTAGGATGGTCTTGAAAGTAGGTATGTGCCAGCTATACAGAGTTCAAACTGCTACTGTATGCTACTTGAACGATTGGGGCCTGGGGCTTAGAGACATGTGTCGTGGACTCGCAACACCAGCCCCTCCGAATATTTCGACGGTACCACCTCCTACGGGCTTCGAGACCGCAGCCGATCCTGCACACAGAACCTCAAAACATGTCGGAACGCGGTGGGGACCTACCTGACCTACCTGTCTTTGAGGAGGAGCTTCTCCTAACACACAAAGCCTGCTTCCTTGGATTGAACAAAAAACCAGCGCCAGCACCCTGCAAACGCCTTCTATACCCTGCATATGGGGAAAATCAGACTGTAGACACAGCCAGCCAGGCCACAACGCGCGCAAATTCAAGAAGCATTGTTATCATGAACCAACACCCTCGCACCTCCACCCCAAACCCCAAACAACTCTGGAATCCTGGATCCTTAAAGGAACCCTGAACGGAACCCTAAAAGGAGACCTAAGAAACGTGCCTGAATCCGAAGTAGATCAGCCAGCTCTTCTTCCTTCCTCCCAGGGCCTCGGATGTTGGTGGGGCATTCGCAAGAAAGCATACGGTGTAGGGTTTAGGGACTGGGGTGGGGTTTTGGGGCTGGGGGGTTTAGGGTCCTTATGCCTCCCTAAACCTATTTTGTATAGGGTCCCTATGAAACCCATATCACGATAACAAACGACAAAAAAGTAGGCTATGGTAATTTGAGGTATGCTGGAAGCCGAAATTCCTGCATAGCCATAAAACGGATTGCTTTGTGAATGCTATACTTTGCAAAAGGAGCAGTAACCCACAAAAACAAGTAGCTGGCACGGGCTCGGACCGCCCCGGATTGAAAACGTACGCACGTCGAACCTGAAAACGGAAAGAGGCAATGGGAGATCGTAGGTCCCATCTCACACCGAAGCATGTTTACCCATAGGCTCCCCAGTAGTTCCTTTTTGGGAATACCTTACAGGATTCTAAATCTGAACCCCCAAAAAGGAACTACTATGGAGCCTCTACCCAGAGAGCCCAATACCCCTTAAATAAGGAATATACCTTAAATCATAATATTAAGACCGCCATGATTTAAGGTAAATTCCTTATTTAAGGGGTATTGGGTTCTCTGGGTAGGTAAGACGCAAAACCTGATGTCACAGACCCAGCGACTCACAAGCGAGACCGCAAGGCTAAGAGAACGAAGACCCTGCTCGATCGCTTTGTTCAAAGGGGAAAAGGAGGGACCCTTTTAAGGGTCCCTTTAAAGGGATCTATAGGGATTCTATGAGGGTATAGGGTTTATTAGGGTTCAGGGGTTTGGGGGTTTAGAGGGTTTAGGGGAAAAGGAGGGACCCTTAATGGGGACCCCTACCCTATAATGGGCTGTATAATGGGTATATAAATAGCTATACTAAGGGTATATACCTAGGGGTCCTTATTAAGGGTCCCTCCTTTTCCCCTGTGGTTACAGACTTCTGCCAACAGTTCCCTCTTGCTTGAACAAAATACGTGGGCGGTTGTCAAAACTATGGTTTCTTTTTGCGTACCCTAAAGAATAGGAGCCGTACTATCTTAGGGACCCATAAAGGGGCCATAATTGAATAGCCGCCCACATATTACAAGATCCTGGCCATAAAAATGCTTGACAAAGAGAGGAACTACAATGGAGACAAGAGGGGTCAGCTTCAAGAGCTCGTCATCGAGCAGCAGGGTCTAAATTTGCACACGTCCGCAAGAATATCCCGAGCCACAGTACCTACAAACACCAAGCCCCGACCGAAATGTTTTAGGGTTCTAGAGGGCTTAGACCAAAACTGTGAAAGCATTACATACAACAGTCTCTAGTAAGCTCTTAGGATACTCTATCTGGGATGGAGCACAATCCCACCTTAAAGCAGCTCCTACAGCAAGCCCTCCTGTGAGTCGAGGCGCCCAGTACCTATAGATGTTGCCAGAGATCGGCTGCACATCCTGCGTCTGTCCGGGAGCGAGTTTCATGACCTGCGCTCGAATGGGAGTTTCCGAAAACAGGGGACCCTGATATAGTACCCTAAATAGTAGGATCCTGATTATAAGGACTCCAAAGTAAGGTATCCTTATTATAAGGGCTCCAAAATAAGGTACCCCTATTTTGGGAAACTCCCGAATCTAGTAGTCGCTCCAAAGGAGCTCACATGACTCGCAGGGCTCCCGGACGAAAAGAACTTCCTGGACCCCAAAAGTATGTAGAGTAATAGCTTTTAAGGGTTCCTATAAGGGTACTATAGGGGTACTATAAGGGTACTATAAGGGATCTATACCTGGACCCCAAAAGTATCTAGAATCATAGCCTTTCATGGGTATTCTACGGTATTGGGCCATGAGTTTACCTACTTTGGGGGGGTTTAGGTTGGGATTGTGGCAAGTGTTCGGGGCACGTTGGGGCTTTGCCCTGATTTGATGCGAAGCTTCGCAAGCGGCAACACCGCCGAAGGCCCTGGGGTACTGCACCAGAGCGTAGTCGAAGTATCGAGGCCTCTACCTTGAGGCTCCATAGTAGCTCCTTTTTGGGGGTTCATATTTAGAATCCTATAAGGTAATCCCAAGAAGGAACTAGTCGAACTATCGAGGCCTCTACTGTAGCATCCTGAAACACTGAATGTGGCCAGAGAGCCCAATACCCCTTAAATAAGGAATATACCTTATAAATCATAATATCAAGACCGCTATGATTTACGGTATATTCCTTATTTAAGGGGTATTGGGTTCTCTGGGTATCGACTAGCCCTTTAGTCTGGCTTCCTTGCGGCTCTGGGGTGTGACATGTTAAGCACTTGAGCTTCTCAGGTCTTCACAGCCATAAACTCCCCAAGTCCCTCAAGTTGTAACACCCTCAACCCTGAGCCCCGAGTTCCTAAACCCTAAACCCTCACCCCCCCAAATATTTAAACCAGGGGTTGGGACTGTTGGCATCGGCTTCTCAGAGTCTCGCAGTTTGCTTAGGAAGCCTCTCTGCGACTGTGTGAATTGCACCTGTTGCAGCACCACACGCCGAAACTTTCAGCAAGATCCCGCTGGAAGGGGGCATTGACACAAAGTTGCCAAAGGTACATGTACTGTATATGCATTTGCGTTGGCCCTATCATCATGGTATGGAACCATTGTCAAGGCACTTCGGGGATCGAGCATCAACGAGATGTGTGCTCCGGGGTTTGTCATGAGACATGCTTGCCACTAAAGCTCAGTCGCTGTGCTTCAGGACTGCTCCAAATGACACCGTTTTTGCACCTCAGCCCCCCAAGACCCTAAACACTGAACTCCTAAACCAACCCTAAACCCTAATCGCCCTGTAAGACGCCACACTCGAAGCCTAGGCGCAGGAAGAGCAAGTTGAGAGCAAAAGCTGAATCCAAATCTTGGGCCTTGGTCACCAGCTCCGGAAAGGTCCCCGCCTCCTCCATGCATGATCCTCAGGCACTCAGAATCATGTGAAGTCTGCACGGCTCCGGCTTTACTGTCTATTTGGATTTCCGGCTCCAGTTAGACTCGCCAAGTCAGGAGAACACGTGGGAACATGGCAGCAAACGATGTAAAAGGCCCTGGCGGGCATGCTGTAGATATTTCCTTAAACGAAAGATTGCCGATACGACATCTTTGCTGAATCGAATGCGTATTGCACAGCAACGCCTAACCAGTTGGCCCGAATGCGTCCAGGCTGCATACGAAACGGCAAACCTCAATTGCACCTTAAATCCGTGTCCTAAGTCCCTCAAGCCCTGAATCCTGAAACCCACACCACAAAAACGCTTGAAGACAAACACCGAGAAAAAAAACGCCAAGGTGCTGAACTCTTCCATCCGCTCCTTGTACACTGCCGGACCATCGGAATTTCCCTGTTTCTGCCTGAGCTTTCGGCAGACCGTCAGCCGGTGCTACTAATGTGATTTGCTGTGGTGTTTTGCGCTTTCCTGTGCTTCTTGCGACCGTACTCGTTGTGGTCACGGTGAACATTCTTAACGGGGCTCCCGAGCTCTACGTGGTTTTCCTGATAGTGGTGGTGGTGTTGGCAAGAATACAATCGCAACGTGCTGACTCTTGCTGCTGCGCTACTACCACTACAGCTAAGAGTGCTGCTACTTCTCTCGCTACGGTACCGTCTCTACCACGACCTCGAATCCCCCTGCGGCACTGTCTCAGCATTGCTTCTGCTCCGCCTGCGGCTCCAGCAAGTTTATATCTGCTGCTTAATGGTGCTCTGTCTTCGCTCAGAAAAAATCGCCGCTGTCTGTCATCGTCCAAGGACATGACTTATGAAACCTTCACTCAAGAGCTTTTGTCAATCAATCCTCTCATGTACCGTCCGGCAACGTCTAAGTGCCGACTTGTGCATGCATCAGGTGAGTCTCTGCCAGGGCAGAAGGGAAAGTTAGGTTGAAATACGACACGTGCAATGCAGCCTGAGGCGATGAGGCGACGGCATGAAGCCGTAATTCACAACTCCATGGTTTTGGGGCCCATTGTACTATTATTAGAATGAGGACCCGCCCCCAAAAAACAGTATTGGCAACTGTATATTCAGGCCCCTGTATTATTTCATGAAGGCGAGCTTCCCAGAGTCCTCCTCTCGGGGTTCGTTCTCTTGTTCTGCATCGTCCGCCGGGTCCTAGAGCAAACGGGGTGTGCAGGTGTTCATCTAAACTTGAGCTCCAAGCAACTATCATGTTGCAGGTGCGATGCACCACCATCTTACTTCTCCCTCCTGTCGCAGGAAGCTGCAGGAGCCTTCCGTAGCAGTTTGCACGCCCTACACCTTCAACCTCAACCCTCCGTTCAACATCGGCAAACCACCCCGAACCTGTACGAAAGGGAGCTTCGTGACCCTGAATGCTTACAATAGGAAACTAACGCGCCGCCAATTCTCGGGAAGCCCAAACGCAAAGGTTCAGATCCTAGAACGCCACGGTTGGCTGCAGCTTTACCACGCAAGGGGCCTAAGGATGTTGAGCGAAGATGGCCGAGCAACTTAAAGGTTTGGGATTCAGGGCTTTTGGGGTTTTGGATCAGGGGAACACGGGTTACAAATTAGGGCAGAAACCAGGGTTTAGCATTCAACACGAATCCAAAACCGTTTACGCCGCCTCCAATCAAAACTCTATATACCCTTTAAGAAACCTGCGATTCCCCGCGGTGACAGACACTGTAACAAGCCCATCTGCGAAAGCCGTTTGAACCATCCGTTTTGCGGAGCTCCGTCCAACAAGAATATACAGCAACATGCTAGAACTGAGGAGTTATCATATTCGATAAGAAGCCGTCTACAGCCCGAAAACCCATCTCTAGGGCCTGTATTGGACATCCCGAAATCTGTGCGAATGAGCACCCGTGCACGGAAGTACGGACAAAAAACAATAGCGACAAAAAAATCTGGTGCATCGCAAAACCCGACCTAGCATTGCAAAGACCCAATAAGGCAGATGCTTAAATAGTAAGGTGCTGTGACATCCTTACATTCTCCTAGCCCGGGAACCCTACACGCCAAACCCTCTTACAACAAAGGAACCCAGGCTTATGTAGGGAAACCAAAACAGTTAGACCAAACACCCTGAAGCCGGGCTGTAAACCCGGCTCCTTCGTCTCGGCCGGGGTATCGAAACTGAACTGCTGGAACTCCTCACCTCGCTTGTGACTTAGGGCGCAGGGTGGAATAATACTATATCATAATAACCATAGCACAATAATGTGGTATAAATATATATACACACACATTAGAGTTTGGATTTCAGGGTCTGATTCGGGAGGGCGGTGGTGGAAGTTTCAAGAATAGCAGACCGGAGGATCTGCAGGTTTCATGACGACTCGGGCGTTGTTTCCACCAACTGTACGAAAAGTAGGTGAAGTCGTGTTGGTTTCAAGCTTTACGTGAGCACTGGCGGTGGCAAGTTGAATTTGCCTTTTAGGAAGATGCTGAACGTGGCTGGTGCGTGTTTAGGGACCCACCAGCCGAACTGTTGAATATGAGCTCGTCGCTGCAATTGCCTTAGCTTTTCGTGAACACCCTCGCCGAATCCGCATGTCCCTGATGCCGGAAGGCACCCCCTCGGCCACTTCATGCATTATGAGCCACCTTTCCGGACATCCCCGCGGACGACGCACCTCAGCTATCTTGCAGCTGATCACAACTCAAAGTTGTTTCGGGCTCTTAAGTTGTGACAGTTGGACAAGGGTGGTTGTCAATATTAGGGTCCATGTTTGGGTCCCTAATATCTTTCGGCACCTAATATTTAGGGTACCCAAAAAGGGACCATAATTTTGACAACTACCCACAAGCTAGGAGATTCAAGAAGCCAGGTTTGGAGTTTCCTTGTGCAAGCATCATGTCGGAAGCTGAGACATGCGAGACCTTCCTAGTGACTCCAATATCCCTTAACTAAGGAATATACCTTAAATTATAGTAGGATCCCTTATATGATTTCAGGTATATTCCTTAATTAAGGGATATTGGAGTCTCTGGGTTCTGTGTCAGGCTTCCCGGCTAGCCCGGCAAAGACTGCATGGTCTTTCCTCGGCTCGGTCTCGGCACCTTTCAGTGCGTCAGTCGTCGGACAATACAATATCTAGGTGGGGTGTTTAAAGCTCTTGAAAATACTAGTAAATAAGATCCTCTGAAGCCCAATAACGGAAAATATAAAATGTCCCAAAGCCCTACCTAGAAGACCATCATGAAAATCTTCCTAGGGATCAGCAAATTTTTGTGCACGCACTCGGCAGTTGCAGCAGTTGACCCGGCAACCTTGACTCACGATGCCACGCACGTTCCGTGGATCCGATATCAGACACTCGAAGTTTGCAGATGAAAGGGTTTCCAGGTCCCTAACCCCAAGGGTCCAAAGGACCCAACAATTAGACATATACTCCGTTTTGGGATAGTAGTTATGTAGGTTAGGATTCTGGAGAGTTTCTGATTTTCATGTACTTGGACCCTTGGGGCAAATCTTCCTCTTGATGCTAGCAAGAGGCCACACGCCCAAGGTAACCTTGGCTTTCGGAGATCAGGTTCGGACCCACGCGAGATCGCAAACACGAGGTTCAAAGCCCAAATGCTCGGATACAAGAACGGAGGGAACCCCGAACCCTACCTAGCGGTTCCATAGTAGTTCCTTTTTGGGGCTCCTATTTAAAATCCTATAAGGTGCAATCCCGAAAAGGAAATACTATGGAGCCTATGGCTGAAGCTAAAGATGAACAAGCCCCTAAACCAGTGAGCCGAAAGCCCTAGACGCCAAAGGCAAGCTCTATGCCTTGAATCTGCTTTGGACTCTCCAAACCCAAAGGGTCCAAGTATCATTATGGTATGTACTTATAGGGTATTTTGGGAGTCTAAGTATCTACCAGAATGATACTTGGACCCTTTGGGAAAGCTTCTGCTGCTCTTGAACCCACACATAAAGCCTACACCGAAGAGCTCACCAACAGTATAAACCCTGGGCCGTAGTGTTCGTAAGCTGGGGAGGCTTCGCAGAACTTAGTGTTTGCGGCTGTGGCGTTTGACATGAGTTTGGCGCTTCAGGGATCCTCGGCCAAGGACGGATGCTAGCGACGCTACCATATCAGAAAGCGCTGTACCCGTAGGCCCCATAGTAGTTCCTTTTTGGGGTTCATATTTAGAATCCTAGAAGGCAACCCCAAACGGGAACTACTGTGGGGCCTATGGGTAGTCAAGAGGTTTGCGATATAGGATGGTCGTAATTGGCATGAGTTCCAAGGTTTGCTTGCATGGCAGGGCAAAGCACAGGACTGGAACATGCGTCATAGTCGGGTTGCACTTTCGATCACAGTTCAACATATGATAAGCCTTTTTCTACCAGTATATCCCTTGTATAGCCACACATCATCATACCTTCGGAAACCCTGCTCTAATCTTCAAAACCCCCGGACCCTTGTGTGAAATCCTAAACCCTATTAAATCCTAAACCCTAACCCTCTGAACCCATGACCCCTGTATAAAGCCCTAAACCCGGAAACCTAAACTCTAACCCCCTAAACCCTAACCCCCTAAATCCTAACCCCCTATAGGCTGGCAGGAAGCGATGATCGCTACCATCACGCCCATGGCAGTCTTCTTCCAGGAGTCCTTGTACTCACCTTAGCCCAAGGAAGCCCCTCCCCATAGGGTTTAGGGTTTAGGGTTTAGGGTTTAGGGTTTAGGGTTTAGGGTTTAGGGTTTAGGGTAGTTCCTTCTTGGGGTTCATATTTAGGAATCGAAATATGAAGCTCAAGAAGGAACTAATATACCTACTATAGAGCCTATGGGTAGGGTTTAGGATTTACATAGGGTAGCTGATGCGATTCCAGGCCTGTGCCGGTTTCGAAGAGCCCAAACAAGCAGTTGCCTAACGCTAAACCCTAAAGGACCTTTAATTTACCAAGTCGCAGCTTCCTGCATAGAGACGCATGGCCGAGCCAAGCGTGAGCTCGTCTTCGAGGCCTCCAGGTGAGGAGCTCAGGCTTTGCTTTAGAACTTGTAGGCCTCATGGTCCTTACAGTAGACTCGATAGTAGGGCTTAGGGTTGACTTATAGGCCTTGTAGTCCTTATGGTGGAGTCTTTAGTTGGCTTTGGGATTGTGGGGTTTAGGGTTGTGGGGTTGCAGGCTTTGTGACTGGTTTCCTTTTCCAGGCCACAAAGCTGAAAGGAATACTTCCGGCTCATGATCTGCCTCTAGGCTTTGGGGTTTAGGGGTTTAGAGGCTTAAGGTTTAGGGTCTAGGGCCCAGGGGTTGCAGGGTTAGGGTTTATAGGGTTTAAGGTGAAGGGCTTAGGGTTTAAGATTGCTTAAAGGATCATGGGACTTAGTAACTAGGGTTATACTTAGGGTAACTATACTTAGAACTATTAAGGTACTTATAACCTTACTTACTAAGTCCCCTGATCCTCCAAGTAGACCCTAATCCCTAAACCCCATAGATCCCCTTAAGGAACCCTAAAGATCCCTTTAAGGAGCCCTCAAAAGAACCTTACCATGTCCCCTGATCCTCCAAAGTAGGTAGGAATCCAGGGATCAGCCTGGTAGTTCCTCCAGGTTCTTGCACCTTCGGTGCATAGGGCACTTGCCTCAGCATCTTCAGGTGCTCTTGTCATGGGGACCCCTACTATAAGTAACTTAACTGGGGTTATAAGTAGTTATAGGTAGAGTTACCCTAGTAGGGGGGTAGGGGCAGGAGGGGGCCTTAATGCTCATAATAAGGACTCAATAAGGCATATGTCAGGAAGTATAGTCCCCTACCCCTCTCCCTCTTACCCCCTAAGGGTCCCTATGAGGTCTTGCCCAAGCAGGTTTTGATCATCTTGAGTACATGTGCCCGATGCATCCATGTACCGATGTAGAAGATCAAGTTGACCCTGGCCCTAAACTTAGTGCATGGGAAGCTCTTTAATCCCAAGATAGATCCACTGCAAGAGTTCCTTATCAAACCCTGAAAGATCCCTTACAGAAAACTTGGAAATCCCCTGAAATGCTCTGTACAGACCCGTGTTATAGGTAGATGAACTGTTCGGGAGGGCGGTTCGGAGGGCATGAAAGCAGCAGGCTCTGAACTTGGAGGTTACATATACACGTACGCACTAAACCCTTAAAGCACCCAGCAAGCGGAAACATAGTGCAGGTACGCCCCAAAAACTCGTGCTATGGCTGGGGGGAAATGTCGAACAACACCAAAATCCGCTCCTCAGAGTGCGATATGCCCCATCGCTCTGAGCTGAAAAAACCTTAGCCCAGAATTTCAGATAAAACTCCCGTACCGGACTCAGCAGCTTGGTGACCAGAATGGATGTAATGGGAAAAACCGAATTCAACCCGAATTCCTACATCCCGTAGCCTAAACCCGAAGCCTTGTATTTTTCGACGGGCACTCTGGAATCAGACTACCGGCTCCGATCTTCGACCTATGGCCGCAAGCTGCAGAGCGAACATTGGAGCACGCATGGGCAAACTACTACACCCATTGCCATGGCCATGATGGTTGCCGGTTATTTACAAGTATGGTTGAGATTCTGGCTACTACCATGGTGCGAATGATGTTGCTATTATGGCATCCATTACAGTAAACCTGAAACAGTTGGAAACCGGATTAAGGCCAAATAGTGCTGGGATTCCTTCTACATTACTCTTAAGGATTGAGGCTATGGGGTTTCCAACTTTTGGGCTTCTACTGTATGGCTTTGTGCTGGCTACAAGGTCACCACTCGCAGTCGACGTCTTCCATGCCAAAGCCCCCCACACACTGAGCTGCCAAGTAGCATTTCAGCTGTTGCAGTTCGGAAGGGACGGGGTCGCATCCCTGCCAGGTTTCTCCGGGTTCAGACAAGGCAAGAACTACGACGGAGGGATTCAGCTTTAGATGGATATCTCACTGCTTGGCGGTTGCATTCGAGTTAGCGGACAGTAGTCATCAGTCTTCCAGGCTGCAGTGTTGGAGATGTGCTGCTGGTGGGACACACTTTGCTTCAAGAGGGCATGACACGCTTGGGGCTGCAATCCAGCGGCTTGGATTCTAGGTATCCGATGGGTGTTCAGAGACACAGAGAGCAAACGGTAGCATACCCGCAAGCACAGTCAACCAGGAAAGAAATTCCTCACTGGGAGTGATGGGGTTTCACGTGTGTGCAGCATTTGCGCCAAACCATGACACCCAAAGCCCTCCTGAAAGTCGAGGACGAAATGAAGCCGACAAGTGACAAGACACGTCCCCAAGCTTGACCCTCGGCGGGAGTCGGCTGGAATATCCCTGTCCTTGTCTATCAACCGAATGTAGGATATAAACCATAGACCCTTTGAGGGCGCCTGCGGCCCTTTACGCAGATCTGTGGCGACAATACTCACCAACTGCTGAGAAAGCTACCCTAAACCCTAAACCCCTAAACCCTAAGCCCGGAAACCCGGAAGTTCAGGAGCTTCCTACACGAAGCAAGAAACCGTGCAGGACCCTAGGCTTAGTATCTGAGTATCTCAGGGACCTTCAGAATTAGAACAGGCTCTGGCGGTCTGTTGACAAATCCGTGATAAGCCACAAGCTAACAAGGGTTTAGGGTTTAGGGTTTAGGGATTAGAATCTAGGGTTTAGGGTTTAGGAGTTTAGGGTTTAGGGTTTAGGGTTTGCTTCCGACCCCTTTAACTATTACGTGCCTTGTTCTCCCAAGCTCCAGAACTTGGACATCTGCCTGTCATTCGGACGAGGGGTCTTGGTGTCTTCAACAAGACTGAGATTCACTGGAAGATCCAGGTTACTGGCCTGTTTATGTACAGTAGCATAACAGAATATACTAGAACAGAATAGACTACCATTTCATGCAATAAAATAGAATACTCTATTCGATTCTCTTGCATTCCGTTATGCTTCGTTATGTTTTATCCTACCCTAGTCTGCCATACCTATATAAACTTTGACTATCTAGTATTGTAGCCCCATTTTTTGGGCTACTGAGACAACTGGGCTGAAGGGGTTCCGCGTCAGTATGAGAAACTGTGAATGAAATGGCTTTTGGGTTCGTTGAAGTGGTTCGAGTTTTCGCGCCATTCGGCTTGCAGCTGCAGTTCGATACTGTGCCGTGAGGGACCTATTTCAGCCTCAGCGCGATGATGCCTTGCGTGCCTCTACGAATAGATTGAATACTTCGTGCAAGCATGCAGCCGGCCTCATCTGCGAGAGCCAGGGAAACAAACACAAAAACAACATCACTAGTATTTAGTAAGCAACCCTGACCGTTTCCCAACTCTGCATGCGATTTTCCTGCATCCAGACCTGCATCTGCGGATCCTAATTACTCTTCTGCTGGAGTGGTAAACAAACCTATGATGCATTTGTGCGACGAAAGTTCATGTCTGTCCAGCCCACAAGCGAAGGGGAACGTCGGGTCCAGGGTGTGATATGTCTGTCTGCGACTTCGTGCTGAAGACTCAGCTTTGACAGCACCCACGGACGCTGTATGGCATCCTGGGCATGACACCGGTGCCTCCATTCTTCTCTTTTAAGACATCCTCCAGGCTTTTCTCCAACTGAAACTGCTGGCCGTAGGCGCCCAAAATCGCCTGCCCGAGTAACAGCAACACGAACATCTTGTAAAGTTGCAGAGTCCACTTCTTTCAAATTCATTACCGTCATCGGTTGCCTATACAGACGGCATCCCCATTAATTTCACAAGCTCCGCAGACTCTTTGTCCCTTGTGTAACTTACACGTTGTTACGCTTTCGCCTTAGCACTTGCCGACCTTGCTTTTGTTTCCAAGTCCAACTCCAAGTCCAAGCCTTCAGCTGCGTTTCGTTGACCGATTTCACAAGGGGCTCGTCCTCGCTCCGAAAGGAACTTGAATGAGCGAACCCGAGCTTTTGTTGACTGTGGTTTGCGATCGCGGCGGAGACAGAAAAGCTTGGGATTCTCAGGCACAGTTGCTGCCAAGCCAGAAACTATTAGCGAAATCCAGGGAAATCACTGTCCTGATGCCCAGCCCGTGTGTTCAGATAAACTTGGCCATGCATTGGTGTCGATACTTGAAGCAGCAAAGCCTTAACGTGGACCTATTGAAGGCTGCCTACAGCTGTGGTCATATCACATAAGAGCCCTCTGTGAGAAGATCGTGCCATGACGGCGGGCTTGATTGATCCGGGCTCATTGCCAATTTCAGTCACAGCTGACAAAAGCGACAAATGGGAGTTTCCGAAAATTAGGGGGTACCTCATTTTGGGATCCTTAAAATAAGGGTCCTACTATGTAGGGTACTATATTAGGGTCCCCTATTTTCGGAAACGCCCAAATGAGCTGTGTCGGGCCCAAACCGCGGAGTCAGCATTGCTACGGATATTCGCCTTTCTACGTCAGCAGGTTCAAAATAAACCATCATTGACCATCATGACAGTGCCCTCAAACTACAGTTCACAAAATTCCCTACTCCAGTTACCTAAATCCTAAATAGTAGGCTACTGGGGTATAGAATATGTGCTTAGTATAACTATAACCTACTATTTAGGTAGGTTACTGGGGTATAGAATATATGGTTAGTAACCTACTATTTAGGCAAATGGAGCCCAAGGGTTCATGGGCATCAATGAACCCAAGAAAATAAGGACCTCAAATAGGCAAAACAGATTGCAGCAAATGAGGAAGCAAAGCCTAAGCAAAACGAGGAAGATAAACACACGCCCCAAGAATAAAAGCGAGAAACATGGACAGAAAAAAATTCTGCGTTTTCGAGTCTAGCGAAACCATTCAGTTGGTCCTCCTGTTTGATGAAAGTCTCGTCATCCAGGACGGTCGGTTCCCTGATGGCATGGATCCTCGATTGCTGGAGGGGCTTGGGTTTGACACTCAACTCCCAGTACCCACTCTAGTCTAACAAAGGTCAAGGTTTCTGACTGTGGCGGGGCTACATGAATCCAAAGCTGCAAATTTTGCCAAGGGTGTGGAATGTTTAATGTAAGGACCTTAATGATTAGAATATGGTTTTGGAGCCCGTTATGCTCTAATTATAACAAGGACGTATTATTTCGCCTCGGCCTCTCAGTGCACCCCCTCCAAAACTCGCCGCTTGACCCCTCCACTTAAAGGATCATGGGACTTAGTAAGGGGTATAGTATAATCAAGGTAACTATACTTATAACCCCAACTACGGTACTTATAACCTTACTTACTAAGTGCCATGATCCTCCAAGCATCCCCCCTCCTCTGTGGGCCCCCCCCCCCCCCTCCCCGGTCCTCTGTGCCCACCCCTGCTTCCTCTTCCTTGCTACCTGTAGCCGGAAGACCTACCTTTTTAGGGTTCCTTATTATGGTTTCTATATATAGTTCCTTAAAAAAGGTAGGTCTGTCGGCTACATGTAGGTCTCGCCTCGCGAAGTTTTCTTCGGCAAGGCAACGTTCGCGTTAGACAACCAGCTCGAGCTTGAAGCACAGCCGGGCCGAGGTGGACGACGTGAAGCGTTCAAATTAAGGCCTCTACTAGAGAGTCTACATCATAGAACCCTACATAACCCCACAATAGATCCCCTGTAGACCCCTTCAAAGGACCCCTTAAACGAACCCTATTCTAATTAGTAAGGCCCCTAGATTAAGTTTCAGAAGTTCGGACTGCCAGGCTGGATTGGGCTGTCCTTGCGGTGTCGAGGACTGAAGATAGCAAGCCCTAAGCGCCCATGTTCCCAAATGGTATATACATTGGCCTTAAAGTAGCCCCTATATAGGTACTTTGGGGCCAAAGTATATACTATTTGGGTACATGGCCCTTAGGCAAGGATGTTCGGTTGATGATTTGAGACTTCAACGTCGGAATCTCCTCATTCGGAAGGCTTCGAAGCTTCAACACCCGCACCTCAACCAAGAAACGCGCGACGATGCCATACACAACGGTTTAGGGTTTAGGGGTTTAGGGTTTAGGGTATATCTGAACTTAGAGCATATCATACAGTGACTATACAAGCAGTCTCTTTTCTATTTGTTCACAACCCCGTATTATGGATTGCGGCTTGTCTTTTTCCAATGTGGTGTTCCTTGTTTTCTAAAACTCCCGCAACTATACTGTGCAGAAGATACTCTTATAAGCTGGACCTCCAACACTCTGCCGACAAAAACCGAAGCCTCCCGCAAACCCTAACAATAATAGAATAAGATTCTTCAGAAACCTGACAAGGGTCTTGTGAAGTGTGCAAGCAACGGCAAAGAGCTGCGCCTGAGATGCGAGAATGGCTCAGTTTCGGAGATCGGAAACTCCAAGGATGCACGTCAACGGACGATCATTAATCATTAATCATTAACCCCTAATCCCTAACTAGGGTTTAGGGTTAAGGGATTAGGGTGTATGTATGTATATAAAAATCTGGACATACATATACATATTACCATACATGTTTTGATGTACGTTAGGTTTGCTTGTTCGAAAGAACGTTTGCTTGTCTGCAGGTTCGTCTAGTGCTCGTGTACTGATTTGTTTGTTTCTGCTTATTGAGGTACTTATTCATTCAGTTTTCAGCGTTGTTTTGATTGCTCCGTTTATAGTTGTTCAAACCTACTTGTTTTCCAAACAAAGAAGGGCCGTTCACAGGGATAACATAAGCACCTTTATGGTTAGATAAGGGTACCTAATCCAGGTTCCCAGGTTCTCGAAGAGTTTCATGAGGGATTGCAAATGGCCTGTATGCTTATAGAACATGACTCAGGGTTCTGCGAGGGCTTAACAGGGGTTTGTATGAGGAGTCACAAGAGGACCTCATAATTTGAATAGGTGTTGAGGACGTTGATGTATAACTGTATAGGCTTCTGTATTACTAGTATCGGGGCTTGGGGCTTATAGGGCTTAAGGTGAATGGAAGTATAATTATTGCTTTACTTGAAAGCAGACTTGCAAAGCAACCCACACGACCACACCTCACCCTGCCCTATCCAGCCCTACCCTAATTTACCCGACCCTTCTCCCAGCCCTCCGCGTTAAAACGATTGGGGTTTCAAGCCTTAGTCGCCGAATATCAACAACTGCACTTCCCGAAACCCCGAACCCTCCAAAACTCCAACAAAAGCCTGAACATCCCTGAACCTTGATCCATTTAACCCCTAAGCCCCGAACTCTAAAGCCATAAAACCTTATCAATGCTTATCAACCTAGTGGCTCCACGCAAGGTTACCATGGCCAGGAAGGCATGGCGTAGAAAACCGAGCCCCCCAAGAGAGCTGGAAACGAGCTCTGCGGTTCTTACAGAGATTTGGCGGTTCTCGGTTCTATAAAGGGTTTAGGGCTCAGGGTTTGTGAGTTTCCGAAAATAGGGGACCCCAACATAGAACCTACATAGTAGGATCCCTATTATGACCACCCCACAGTAAGGTACCCCTAATGTTCCGGAACCTCCCATTTGAGGTTTGCAGGCTTAAGCACTGCAGGGAATGTACCCAGAGACTCCAATATCCCTGAATTATAAGGAATATACAATAAATTATAGTAGGATCCCTAATATGAACTATTAAGGAATATACCATAAATTCTAGTAGGATCCCTAATATGATTTCAGGTATATTCCTTCATTAAGGGATATTGGAGTCTCTCGGTAAGCCTCCAGAGTTTCGAGCTCTGAGTCGCTTTAACGGATTCTTGCGCCTATCAAAGGGGAAAAGGAGGGACCCTTAATGGGGATCCCTAAACCCTATAATGGGCTATATAAAAGTGTAGGTATATAGTAGCTACATAAACGGTATATAATAGCTATATTAAGGGTATATACCTAGGGGTCCTTATTAAGGGTCCTTCCTTTTCCCTTTGGAGCCTACCTTGTCCCTGAACTTCCCTAAGCACGGCACCCAGATAATGCACATACAAAGGAATGGATTTTTCACAACTTGGCGACCCCTTCCACTGAAGCCGTTGAATCAGGGTTTAGTATTTAGGGTTTAGGGTTTAGGGTTTAAGGTTTAGGGTTTAGAAGGCAAACATGCCGAAGAAGCCCTTTCAACTCTAATGACAAAGTGAGCTGAATCTGAACGCACTCTCAGGACGCTTTTTGGCTTCTGCCAGACGAAGACGGGTCGGGGCTGCTCGTCGAAAGCACCCTTCTCCATCCACACAGTGCCCTCCTGAGGTAATGTGGGGGCCTTAGCAATCAGAAAAGGGTGCGGGGGTAAGGCGCCTACATTGCTGGCTTCGAGTTGAGTTGCCTCCGTCCTTGTTGGGCGTGCACAAGCACAGGTCGGAACACGCTTCAACAGACCTCACACCACAGGATCTTTGCAGAAAGACAAGTTAAAGCCTGTTGTGGTTCGTTCGCCGAGCCCTCAAGTCTTAGACCCGGCAGTATAGGTGACCTGCAGCCAAACAGATACGCATTGCAAGTAAAACTTGAAACAAGCATCTGTGCTTAGCGGGAGCTTTCGGCTTTCAAGTTAAGCTGTTGTTTAAAACAAGCCGAGGAGGAAAGTTTCAGATGGTACCACACTGCACACTGAATCCGAAATCCTAAACCGTGAGCTTTGAAGGACACCCAGCTCAGAGGGACTTCATGTAACTTCAATATGGCCCCAAACCCTGTAAACCCTTATGAGCCGCAAAATCCGAAACAAAACACGGCCCTCAGGAAAATCTCAAATTCTTCCAGACCTGGGTAGGCCCTACTTGGAGGTTCATACAGCACTTCCGAAGATATGAAGACTTTGTAATGCCCCAACCCCAAAACCCTACGAAGGCTTTCGGACTTCTATTAAGCTACCAACCCAGAGACTCAAATATACCTAATGAAGGAATATACCTTAAATTATAGTAGGATCCCTATTATGATTTAATGTATATTCCTAATTAATTAAGGGATATTGGAGCCTCTGGGAAGATCCTAAACTACTTAAGCTGTTCTCTGACTTAGGGTCCCTTCTTAGGTGCCCAGAACAGTACTGCACCCACAAGAAAGGGCCCTAAATGGTGACCCCAACGTGGAGCACCACTCTAATAAGGGAAAAGAAAGCACGCATTTCGGCGCAGACCACCTGCGTGGCTCAAGAACAAGGTCCTGTCCTGCTGCAGGCCCAATGCCGCTGCGATCTCTTGCACATCGGCTTCGAGATCCTGATATACCGAGCTTTGGCTAATTAGCCCATGTTTGGGATAGCATTAAAAGACTTAAGTTTCTAGTCCTTTTTTGGGTTGAAGTACGCATAGAAACGCAACAAGGTACCCAACTACGAGACAGTTGGGGAATTGTAGGATTTACGGCTCAGACGGTTAGGTTTGGGAAATCAGGGTTTTGTGGGGCCGGCAGAGATTTCTGAGTTCGATGTGATCGAGGCTTTCACTCTTACGGCTGCAGGGATGCGAAACTGGACAGTTATAGTCCAACTTCCTTCCAGCTGACACACTTCCTAATGACACACATCAGGAAGCAAGGAAGCCCCGAACAAATCCCTTTCCTCATCTGGCCTCACACGGCCTGTTTATACGCCTGAAAAACCAGCTGACTTGGTCCTCTTAAGCGAATGTCCTCTTTTAGCCTCCACCATAACTCATAAACGCTGAACACATGTTTCAGGATCTTTACAGCCAGAGTGGTGTAGTCACTGAAAGGGCCGAGCGTCCAGACCCGCCCGACGATGAGTTCGTCTCGCTGTCAGCGCTAAGAGAAAGTATCCTCCCAAAGCCGCAAGGATATTGGGCTACAGAAACGAAGATCGACCCCTTAGACTCAAGAAGCAGGGGTCATGTCACAGGCGTTCCCGCTCTCTGTTGTGCACGTTGTGGAATCGGCATTGAACTGATGGTAACCATCGCATTTTGGGTGGCGAGCAGCGAAGTCCTTACGAAGCCCAGGAAACGTTCAGAGTAGCTTCGCCAAAGTGGGTAATCTTGAACCAAAACTAAAATGAGATAGTACCACCCAGAACTCTTCCGCTCCCCGCCGGCTTCCCGAACACAGTTGCAGTTCACAGCCCCTCGAAGTAGATTCGACAACCTGCAGAATGCCTGATGCTGAGACAGGATCTCAAGAATGCAGCTCTCTGAAACCCGTATCATTCCCCATTAACGAAGCCAGCTTCGTGGGGGACCTGTAGCATGCTCGTGCACTCTTGCATGCATGAAAACGGTGCTAGCCCTCTACAGGCTTGCGCCAGATACACCCTAAACCTACAACCCTACATGCAGTGGGCACGTCGTAAAGATCCGGGCCCCAAAAAGTATACACTTCACTACTAGGCCTCCTGGACGCAGCGCCGCCGCCGCATTCCGAAGGGTGGGTTCCAAGAAGCCCAGGCGCCAGGTCTGCCGTGTTTTGGAATTTGAAACAACAAACCGTCAATCCATCTAAAACCCATCCATCCCAAGCCCATAATCCTAAACTAAACCCTATAACCCCAAGCAAAACCATGTAAACCCTAAAGCAAGATTTGCTTTTAACTTCTCGGACTGCGATGATGTTGAGAGGCAGGCATTGTGGCTTCAGTCTGGCAGTACAGTTTGCCTTTCCGGCAATGGAATGACTTAAGATGGCTTAGGCAGATGGGGTTTAGGGCTTCAGTTTGCTTGTCATTGTCTCTCTGATCAGGAGTTTTGTCGGAAGACGGTTGGGATTCCGAGCCCTTTCCATGCGGGATCCTCCAGATGAGTATGATGTCAGACGACAGGCTAAGCAATCAGAGCGACGCAACGACAGGTTCACAATTTCATGTACAGGGAACTCCAGAAAGTTGGAATATGGATTAATGGTAGGATCCCATATATTTTACCTTAAAGGGATTATGATAATGATATTCCAACTTTCTGGCTTCTACTGTACAGTTATCAGATCGAGATTGCAGTTTCACAGGCCGACCCCGGCCACGACGGCCAACTTGACCACTGCAGCGTGAAGAAATCGAGATCTCGCGTCTGCGCATGGCACTTTGGGCGGAGAAGCACACGAAGTCAGAAGGCTGGCATGCGATAGCCGACCAAGGCAAGATGGCAAGCAAGTCTCAGGCATGTTCCATTTCGTAAGCATCGCCCATCAAGCCTGGGCTCCATTGCACTCTGAGATAAGTCATCATGCGATCTTGCTTGCCAAGCTTTCGGAACCTCACACTCGCTCGGGTCTTCCAGCCGTGATTGGACGAGCAAGATACGCTGCATGTCTACACCAACAAAACAGGATGACGCTCTGCACCTTTGCGCTCGCACGGACACAAACGCAAGCATGGCTCCCGAACCAAAACTGTGGTATCAGAAAAATGTGGGACACCAGTATAATCTAGAACCCGTAACAATGGGATCCTGATTACAAGGATGCCCTGAGGCGTACCTTTGCCCAGAAGCTCTACGCCCTCAAAACCGTAATTACTATGGAAAGTTGTCAAGCTCGATCCCTGGCCTCGGCTGGCAGGTCCGCAGAGTTCTCTTTCGCGAGCACAGTACGATCATGAGCACGATTCATCGAACGGCGATGAGTTCAGCTTTCGCTGTAGCATCGAAGCCCCGGTACCCATAATCGGGAACCTACTACGAAACGGGTCTATGGGTTCAATGCGTTCTCCCTGCCGTTCTCACCCAGAGGGCCATGGCCTGGGCTGTTGGAAACTTCACGTGGCTCTGGGTCGCCTCCTGGCTGTAGAGCTCCTGCATGGGTTTACGGTTTAGGGTTTAGGGTTTAGGGGTTTAGGGTTTAGGGTTTAGGGGTTTAGGGTTTAGGGTTTAGGGGTTTAGGGTTTAGGGTTGTGGGATTCCGAGCATCTTTACGAGGCTTTGCAATTGAAATTTAACTGGTCCTGCAACATACATAAAGGATCGTGCGACGTAGTAACCAGGGTTATAGTTAGGGTGACTACACTTATCAATTAAGGTACTTATAGTCTTGCTTACTAAATCCCATGATCCTCCAGGTACGGGCCATGACTGGTCAGAATAGGGTTTGGGGCTTTATGACCCAGGACTGGGCGACTACGGGACCCCTCGGTGCAGTTGCAGCAGGCATGATGGAATCCCTAAACCCCTATAGATCCCATAATAAGGAACCCTATAGATCCCATAATAAGGAACCCTATAGATCCCATAATAAGGAACCATGCAAATAACTGTGGGTGTCTGGGCTTTCAACTAAATGCTAGACCCCAATGCCTCAAGTGAGATGTATAGCGTCGTCTGCTAAAGCGTGGTATGAGTGCCATCGATGTGCAGTGCAGAATAAGGTCAGCTTCAGATCCACTTCAGCGACGCAGGCTTATTATCCTACAAAATCATCCACGCCCTCTAACTGAAGCCTTCTTGTGGTAACCTCTCAACCATAAAGCACCAAACCCTCAACCACCAGGCTCAAACTACACAAAATCACGAAACCATAAACCCTAAGCCGACAAACTCGACCCTAAAACTCTAAGCACTAAACCCCTGCTCAGGAAAACATCCCCGCACCTTGCATCAGGAAACCCTTATCTCCTAACCCAGACTCGAAGCGATGCATTTCTGCCGGAGTGCCGTGTTGAAGTACGGCGGTGAGGTGAACACCAAGTCCACGGTATCATCAGGAACGAAGAGCTGGCGAAGAGATAAAGGGCCACGCGATTGAAGCTTGCTTTAGGCTTGGCACGTGTAGGTTGAGGGGTTAAATTGCGGTGGAGGGTTCAACATTTATGGGGTTGAGGGTTTCCGGCTGGGGGATCTGGGCTCTGGGAAGTGCGCCGTGGAAACTGAAAGTACTCGAACTACTTCTGCATGTAGCCTACCGTACCGTGCTCGGGCTGAGCGAGAAGTTTCGACAGCAAATCTGAGAATCTGCTCACCTATTGCTTACTCTGCAAAAATCAGCATGGAGGCATTCCTCGGCTCAGGTAGTACCACTGAAACCATATCTTCTTCGTATACTTATGTGATTTTGCAAGCATGAATGAAACTCGCCAAACCAGAGGGCTACTTATGCAGGTCAGCAAAGCAGACATGACGCCAGTCGTGAAGGCAACTGCTACATGAAACTACTCTGAGAACCGATCTTTCGACTGCAAGAAGAAGGTGTGTGATATTTCTGATTATTTGGATCCCTTTGGAGACCAAAAAGCCATGCAACATTAGGACTGTGTTCTTTACCTTACAGGAGCACCACATCCGAATCCCTAATCCCCAAACTACTGAAGCCTAAATCCTGAATCCCTAACAAACCAAAAACCTGCACTTGACGTCTCGGCACCTCGCTGCCGCAGCAGCGCAGGTCCACCTGCCAGGACTTTGCAACTTGTTTCGAATGTAAAGTTTTGTACAAGTGCCTGTAAAGTTGAAGTAAGTCTTGACGTTTTTTTCAGCGTGAGATCCGGATGCCAGGTGCATGTTATGCATGATGCTTAGGAAGTCAGGGTGGGCAATGATAATGGAAGGTTTAATGACAATAGAAACACGCAATGGTAAAACAATCATAAGAAGGACACGATTAGTTTACGTAGGGTAACCATGAATATGCTGCTAATGCTGGTTGCGGCTTCCAGGTCGAAGATGAAGGCCGAACTTGCGGGGTTCAGGTGCAGAACATGAACTCACATGTATCCAAACCCATATGAATGAAACCCAAGCTGTCCTGACAGTAGGCCTTGTACCCTAAGCCCTAGACCCAAAAAGTTCTAGATCCCTATACCCTGTAAGACGTAAAGCCAGTAGACCCTAGAAAAGAAAAGGCCCCCACTCACCTCGAGGTCGCCAGCTGCAAAGGAAGCGAGCTCCTGCTTTTTCAACAAAGGGTTTAGGGGGTTTCGACAATTCTGGTTCAGGGTTCGGTTTAGGGATTCAGGGGCTTCGGGCTTAGCGGGTGTTGGGCTTAGGGTTTGGGGGGGTTTTGGGGGTGATGGACGTTTCCGCCTCAGGGTTTCCATCCTGCTAGTTTCCGGTTTTAGGGTTTGTCGTCTTCAGGGTTGAGTGCTCACACCCCCGCAATAATGGTCTGATAGCCTGTTAACTGTTGTCGGATTCGCGTGATGCGCACTGGTGCGTTGTAGCATCTCGGGGCCCGGGCAGCAGAATTCTCCGGAGCTGACACACATGTCTGGCTTTGGCTTGATCTGGTCATGGCAACGTCAGTACCTCAATACTCAAAACACTGTAAGCGCACAGCCGGTCCCCTTATCAACTCTGACATCTAAGTTCCTGATATTTGAGGTGGTCTTAATTCAACCCACTAGAGTCCTTCTGATGACCCCCTTCAGGTGTTCATGTGGCCAATGCACTGAACCCTGAATAAGAACATTGGGACAGGAAATGCCTCCCTGCGAAACACTGAAGTCTGTAAAATGCTAGATCCTACACTGCGTATTCCATAGCCTTAAGAACCGATGAAGCCTCAAAACCCTAAACTAAACGCTAAAATTCTCTTTTGTCTGTCACCTTTCAGCAACCGATGAAACCCGTAATATTCAATATAAAGGCAACCCAAGCAAAACAACCCTAAGGCGCGAACCCCAAACCCTTTCCTCGAGGCCCTCGAACGTCTTCGTGCTCGGCTCGCAGGAGATGTACTTTCGGACCCCAGCCAGGCGCCTCCAAGCAAAACGTAGCAGCTAGTTTTTCTTTGTCGCTTTTTCAAAGCTCAGGTCCCAAACAGCGCACAAAGGTATTGATCATAACAAAGCAGAAAGCCTCCACCCCACGCCTGAATGTCGAAAGTCAACTCTTTAGAGGCATCCCTGCGTAATGGGTACTAGTTGGGATCCTACAATAGGTTCTACCACGTAGGGTGTGTATATACATACACAGATAAATACACACATATAACAATACTTCTACTATTATTATCATCATTTTTGTTGATATATATATATATATATGTATGTTGTATCCTAGACCCCAAACGATAAGGCCGCCCACATGTCCTGGACCCGAAACCCTTTCAACTCTGAGGAACCCACTGAATCATATAGTAGATATTTGGGCCGTTACATTAGAACCAGCGTTCATCTTCAATCCAAGGCTCGCCCCCAGCATCCGACCTCCCCAGCCGGCCGAGGGATCCTCAACACATGCCAAGGCCCTCTGTGAGTTTGGGGGTGTGTTGTTTGAGGGTTAAGGGTTAAGGGTATGCATTTTTTATCAGCTCTTTGGGGCATATGGTTTGAGGGCTTACGGTTTTTAAGCTTTATTATAGTAGTACAATTTACAGGCTATTGTTAACAGCGGGACGCACGAATCCTTTTTGTACTTGAGCCACGAGGTAGCGTAGGTAAGACATGATGACTAACATACAAAGAGAATAAAAACACCCCCCGCGCATTGAAGCGCAGCGGAGGAGGCGTATTACTACTCTACGCTACTCTGAGGCAGCACTCGCTTTGCGAGGCTAGCAAAAGATCTTGAAATGCAAACTCAAATCACTCCACTGAGCGGGTCAGCAAACCAACCCGTCAGGGCGGTGATGCACGGGCGTGCCGATGCGGAGGCTGGTGTGATTGAACCAGCACGTCAGTGCGGTGAGCTGCAGAAAAACGGATCAAAATGCAAGTCGCTGTTGCGTGCGACTCATGCATCTCCTGACACGGTGCCCTCAAGACGCGGAGCACCTTCCGGTGTCGGATGCAATAGGCTAGTATGCCCTGTACCATGCTCCATTGGAGTCCTGGCGATACTCCTCCCACCCGCGCAGGAACCAGGCGATTTGCTCAACAGGGTGTTGAACCAAGACCTCCCGGTCGGTGTAAGCGGGAATGACAAAAGGCACATCAGTGGGCGACAGCTCCTCAAGGTAACGGGCACGGAGGACTCCCCAATACCAAGCATCTGTGCGAGTGCAATTGCGAGGCATTGGTCGGGATGGATCGAATCCGTTCCCGTCTTGGTCAATCCATTCCCTTAGGCGATCAGCTGGGAAGCCTGGGAGAGTGACCGTCAGGTTCTCGAGTTGCTGCTCAATCGCCTCATCACACAGGCGCAGGTGACGCAACCTGTCGTTCGCGGCCTCTTGAAAGTCTCGGCCACCACCATAGTCATGGCGGCGCGGTGAGCGAGTGCGAGCACGCCCTCCGGCGGCTGAGGCAGATGGTTCATCAGTGGGTGACCCCGCAGGGGCGGCAATTGGTGCAGGTGCATCACCTACAGCAAAACCTCTAACCTCGCCACGACCGGCAAAATAATCGTCCCACTCATCAGCAGTGATGTATTCCTCAGGTGCACGAACGGCGTCAGCCTTCGGAACAGCTTTTGCAGCTGGTGGGTGCGGCGGCTGCACTGGCCTGTTAGCACTGGGCTTAGGAGGAGGCGGCGTAATGCTTCGGGCAGATGCCGGCCTTGCCTTCGTCTTTGCAGCTTTCGGAACAGAAGTGCTCGCTGGACGATCCGTAGATGACGAAGCTGCACCGCCAGGTGAGCGACCTCGGCTCGGAGGAGCCGGTGGAGGCCGAACACTGGGTGTTGCTGCGGGCAGCGACGAGTCAGGACCAGTCCTTCCGGATGGTGACGGCGGTGGAGGCGGCACACGCATGGCGCCAATGGGAGTGGCACCATGTCGGACCATATTCGGTCTTCCACCTCGCGATTAATCCAGCCGCGGGTACGCTCAACACTGAACCGCGTACCGCCAAGAAGCTCGAGCATCTGTGACCTGCCCATTGTCCCCAGGGATGCTGGGATTTGCAACGGAGTCTGTCCGATTCCAACCTGCACAGTCACCCTTTGCTGATTGCGCTCTTTCTGGGTGAGAGCATACTGTGCGTTGTTGCGGAGCATACCGACTAGGTCAGCCATGATCTCTGGAACAGTACCGGTCACGGTCTGGTACTCGACGCCGTCATGGCGGAGGATGGTGAAAGGACGCACACGGCGTACCTCAGAGGCAATCTGAGTGGCTCGGATCAACACTGCAATCTCGGGGACCAGGTAAAAACGATCCTGGAAACAAAAGTAGCAGTGGCTGGCCAGCTCAAGAAAAATGTTCCTCTGATAGTTGTACTCCCCGCGAATCACATCGTCGACAGGAGGGAAAATGAGGGCAGTGCGTGCATCGGATGTGTGAGATCCTGCAAAGCCTCTCTTTGCCTCCGTCCCCATTCCTGGGGCGGGAAGTCGCAAGCGCGAGAACATCTCGATCTCGTCGAGTGAAGTCACCGTCATCCCCTTGGAAAACACATTGAATGCGCTGAAGGGTTCGTACTTCAAGTTCTGGCGCAAGGAGCCATGCGCTCCCTCTGCCGCTTTCGCCACCATTTTCTTGCACTTTTCCTTAAGTGTCGCGGCGATGCTCTTCTTCACATCGGCACCCTGACGTGTGTGCTCGTGTGGGCGCGTGTTGATGGCGGCCTTCGGTGCCAAATAGTGGAGGCTGTGATTGGCTCCACCTTGCACGGCTTCCGCCCGCAGATCAGCCAGCTCCGCAATGTGGGAGATGTCGCTCGGGTGGAACAACTTCCGCTGGCAGCGGGGGCAATGAAGATAGCCGTCAAGCATCTGAGACCTGCACCTATCATCAGGGCAACGCAGCTTTGGGAAGCTGACGTTGTGAGGCACACTGAGTAGTGCTTGCGCTCCACACGCGACGGGCGCTCGGTGGTCAGCCCGATTGGCGAAAAGTAGACCTGGGCATCCAAGGTCCATTCGCACGGAGTTCCCTCCAGCGGACTACCCTGCTCAAAGCAGATGGTACGACCATCGACATGAAACTGCTCAACCTCACGCAAGTGCGAGGGCTTCTCCATGTCCATGAACATACCCAAGAACTCAACCCAGTCCAAATTTTCATTGTGGATCGGGTAACAGAGATCAACGTAATCCATGATGCAATTAGCGTCAGCTTCCGCTGCGCGTTCGATGAGGTCGTTGAAGACCGGCAGGATCTCCTGACGCTTGACATATGCATCACGGGCTTTGGACACCCGAGCTCGCGTGAGCTCGTACGAGCGGTTAAACCATACAGGTTTCCCGGTTCTGCGATCGTAAGCAAACATAAGGTAGCGATTGGACAACCAATCTGGGGTCTGCAGAACATTGTTCTTTGTCAGGAGAATGCGACACCCTTCCAGGCACGCGAGTTGGAGGTCGATAGCGAATTCAACCTCAGCGCCAGGTCGCAGGCCGGCGTTGTTCGGCCTTTCCCACTGAGGGAGGCAAGCCATCATGGTGAAGGCTCTCCCCGTGCTTCCGCCGAGGGTTACACCGCCTGGGATGAGACCGGTGCTAACAATATTGGAAAAATTGCTCCAATACGTTGCATGGTACCCGATCGGATGCATTCTGACCCAGTCGTTGTGGATGTGGCCAGTGACTCCTACAGGAGGACGCGTGTGCATGGTGGGCCGGTAGCCGTCACACAAAGCATAGCTGTCACTGTGCATATCCACAAGATCAGTCTCGTCAGAGATGAGATCGCGGCAGTGCCCCTGGAATGCACGGATTCCATGGATCTCAGTGTGGTCGATGAAGTGGAGGACGCGCAACTCAAAGCGTCCACTGTCATCTTTGTCGCGGTTACCATACTTCACGACTTCCATGACGTCTTCCGACCGGAGACCGCGCCACTGTTTGCCCAATTGCTCTTTGAAGTGATCCCATTCGACCTCCCGCGTTGCGGGGTCGAAGGTCATCATGGGCGGTGGCCGCCGTTGTGCCTGTGACTCTGCACTATTCGCGAAGCCACGAAGGAAAAAGCTCATGGCACTGCTCAATGCTCGCCGCTTGCCATCCGTCATGTAGCGATGGCTTGGGGCAAAATCGGGGATGTCCTCATAGCCCCACCATTCGAAGAATGGCTCGAAATCACCAGCAGCGTCTTCCGACGGCTGAGCGGTGTCGTCAGGATCCAGGTCCATCACGACATCCTCTTCATCGTCAGTCTCGGCTGGCTCCGAGATTCTCCTGTGCTTGGCAGGATCGGGTTTCGACTTGGGCGTCGACCCGATTCGGCGAAGTGCCTGCGAGTACCCGACTGTGCCTTTGGGAAGACTGCGGTCATCTTCCGATGCCGGAACCTCTGGGGGTTCGTCCCACACCGTGGGGATGCCGTCATTGACTTCCCTCTCGATGGCATCGTCATCTGGGATAAGCACATTGGTGGTATTGATGACATCTCGTGCAACCATAAAGGCAAAGTCCTCTTGCGCCTCAGGGTCGACGGCGACAAGGTCGAGAGGCAGCTCTGACCCAACATCACGGCTAAACAGTACATGTTCAACCTGTGTCACCTCTTCAGAGCCTTCCGGCTTGAGTTCAAGATCATCCACCGGCTCAGGCATCATCATCAGAAGAGGGTGGTCGAGAACGATCTGCTCATCCTCTTCCCTGGCTTCCGCCGGGAGCTCAGGTGCACGGTCCAACGGCTCGAGGATGCGCTGACTTGCAGGCGGCACCGTGAGCGTCTTCTCGGCCTTCCCAAGCTCGAAGTGATTGCGAAACACAATACTTCTCTGATTGGCAACGAACTCAGCCTTCCGGCGAGTGATGATTCGGTCGGTGGAAATGGCTCTGATGAGCGCATGCCACCACTGCAATGAAGCAGTCACATTCGGGTCTGTGACCTCGATGTGGAACCCGTCGGGACGCGTGGTCCTCATCAGGAGGCTTGATGGATCAACGACGCAAACGCCTTCACTCTGCATCTGCCGGGCGTACTTGCCCATTTCTTCATCATACTCGTTGGGCAGGTTGTAAAAGCGGCCGTTGTCATCTCCCAAGAGAACCGTCAGGCCTCTGACACGAGTGTGCTTCCGCAGCTCGATAAGGCGACGGACGCTCTTCTCGACCATCAGCCGCTGCTTTGCGGGCCAATGCTCGATCTCGTCCAGCTCGCGCTGCGGCCTTTTGACCCACTGGCTCGTCAAGTGCCAAGTGTAGCCAAGGTAACCGTAGTTACCGTACACATCGTTGCCGGCCCATGAAACCACAAGCTCTACCCCTTCCGGGGGAGCGGAGGCAAGGTGGGTCTCGATCACATCAACGATCCTGTCGAGACCTTTGCCCCACTCCATCAGGCATGTGACTTCCCCGAACTCTGGGTTCGCGCGGACTATGTCCTGCATCATCGGGAAGATAGTGGTTTTCTTCACACACCGTTTTCCTTGCATCCAGCACAATGCCAAGGATGAGTCCCCGGCCACAAGAATGTCGGTGCCGTCGAAACCACCGGCTTCCGCCGTGGGGGGCGCGGAAATCCTGCCCAAGGCTGGGCTGTAGAGCCCGTCCAAGAGAGCTGAGCTCGCAGGAAACAGTGGGAAGGTACCGCTACCCTCTGACAGAATGTGGACCCTATGGCAAATGTCATACATTGCCGTCTTATTGATGGCATTCTCGAAGTTAACACCCCACCCGAGGATACCCAAATCCTTAATGTGCTGAAGGATGAGGGCTGACCATCCCGTCAGGGAGGTGTTGCGTTGGTCCTGCATGTACAGATTGCCCTGGCGGCAAGCATAGTGACGGAACCAGGCCTCGTACAATGCGGTCCAGGGTGCATTAGGCGCATGCACACGCATGTCGCGCCATTCCTTCACCGTCATAATCCCAAGGAACATCTCATCACCGTCGGCGTCAGCCCCGGGTTCATCAAACACCTCAGCAAGGTCGGTGTGCCGAGCAAGGTGGGTGACCCCGGCCATGGCGTCAGCCAGGCGATCGGCACTCTTGAGTGCGGCACGATACGCCTGAATGCGTTCCTCACGATCTGCCGTTGCATACTGCAACCCCTCAGCAGTCGGCATACCCTCCCGGGCTGCGATTCCCTGTGCAAGAGCGTCACGAGTGCTCTGGGCAGAGGACATGTTCGCAATGGGAAGGAGCGAAAGAGAGGACGTTGGGGATGCTTGAATCTTGAGCGCAACAGCTACAACGTGAGTCTGATTTCTCTCTGATTTTTGGACTTCATAATCTTCAAAAACACGACCAAGGATCGCAGTAAGGGTGCCTTTGAAGTAGTGTTGGGACTCTGATTTCTTGGCACTATCCTTCAATCCTCGTCTCAAGAATTCAACAAGACTCTTCGTGTTGGAGGCTAGCGTGTAGTGGGCAATGACTTCAGGCTTAAAGTCAGCAGCTTCAACCATCGGCTTGAGGTGAGTTTTGCTAAAATCATAGCCATCAAGTACCCTCTTGACACGCTGCCATCCCCAGAACACGCTGTCCCTGGGCCATGTAATGACGAACTTCGCTTTGTACTTCTTAAGAGCATCGGCGATGTCAACAAACGAAGCCCAAGTCTTGGAGAACATGATGCTATTGAGCTCGTCCTGATCCTTGTCTGTACCCCCCGGATTCCGTTGATGGAACAAAAGAAGTACAGAGGCGCCAGCCTTGTGGTAATCCCTGGCTAACTGAATGATTGCCTTCCTAGTCTCAGGAGGATCAAGCTCACTAGAATTTCTAATCTTAACCACTTTTGTATCGGGGCTATACTTTATATCAACGTCACAAGCAGAATGAGTTCCCTGCGAGCAATCCACAACGAACACAATCCTTTTGTATGCGGCTTCGGGCCTCGGCGTCTGCCGGGCGATCGAATCGCTGGTGGCCGCTGCCGACTTCCTTGCAGGCAACTTGTGCGGTGCCACACACATTGTCTCAAGCATGGATTACAGACACAGTCAAATCTGCCGTCTGCAGCCTTGTTGGACTCCTGTCCCACTCTGGAGGCTTCTGCTATGCAAGCCCTCAACGATCTGGCACCGTGGAAGGTGGCTGCAATTCTACATGCTGACGATCCTGTCCTGCTGGGTTGCACCCGTGGCTCGTTACAACATAGCCTCAACATTTTGTCTTCGTGGGCATTCCGACACAAGGCCTCTTTCCATGTTGATAGTGGTAAAACTGTGGCCTTAATAGCTGGCTCGGACAGGGACTTGCCCAACCATCTACCGCTCGTGCTTTTGCCCGGACAGGGCGACCTGTCTTCAAGGCAGCTGATGTTTAAGAAGTCTCATAGGTGGCTTGGACTCAACTGGCCCGCAAGTCTTAACTTTGAGGGCGTTCTACGGCAAAGGATTGCTGCAGCGAAGGTTGCCTTTGCATCCCCCAAAGGCTCCATGTATCGTTAGAGCCGATACTTGGGCATAATTGCGCCCAGCGGCCACATTGGCTCCAGACGTTACTTGGGATTTGGTGGGTTTGAAGACCTCTCTCTTGATGGGTGGGTTTCGAAGGATGAATGACACGTTTGGATCAAGCTTGAGACGCTACGACTTGCATCGGTACGGGTTTCAAGTTCTCACTCTTGGTGGGATGGGTTTGCCGTTGATGGATTTGGCGGGGTTTGAAACCCTCACTCTTGATAGGGGTGGGTTTGCCTGGGTTTTTTACGACCTCGCTCTTGCTGGGTTGGGTTTGCCGTCCATGGATTTGGCGGGGGCTTGAAGACCTCGCTCGTTTTGATGGGTTGGGTTTGATTATTTATACCATTTATATTTTACAGAATCCTGAACTGCTTTTCTAATTTTGTCTCGATATGTCTGTGTACGCTGTTTAAAACTGTGTACATGTATGCAATATAGGGGGTGTCCGTCATTAAATAACAAAATATATATAGACTATACATATAGTACAAGTGTGTGTGTGTGTACTGTGGGGTTGTTAAGTACTAGTACTGTAAGTTGTGTGTGTGTGTGTGTGCGGCGGCAGTGTGGGTCGTTGTTTGCAGGTGTTGTTTTCGCCGGTGTGGGTGTGTGTGTGTGTGTCTAGGCATGTAGTGGGTGTCTCACGAATTTTCGAGGTCCCATTGTTGATTGGACATGCACTGCATATCAACGATGTCCGCCGTGCTATCTGCTGGAGGAACCTGGAGCAGGTACGCCTCTAATTCCAGCTTGCAGGATTCGAATCCATGTGTGTAACTGCGGTACGATAGTACTAATACATAATACAGATCGCTCGCCTGCATGTACAGGCTGGATCGGATATATAGTAGATCTAGAGCGAGTGCATGCATGCCATGCCACATACCTCGAATCATGATATCGGTATGTGCCCCACATCGTACGTACAGTATATGTGTGAAGATTATAAATGTCTACATGTCTAGAGCTCGGTTCCGTAATTGACTGCATTTTTACATGTACAATGCCGGGGCGCTGGAACATTCTTCAAGAGTGTGCCAAGAAGCGGAAGGCATCAGGTGCGCCCACCCTCAGCACTCAGCTCTGTGTGTGTGTGTGTGTGCTCATGATCTGCTGTGAGATGAGTGATTCGATCGCTTGCAGTCTGCTGTGAGATGAGTGATATGATCGCTTGCAGTCCATGTACATCTGCAAGTTTTCGGGGCCAAGCGAACATGTGTGCATGCTGCATGCTAGCACTAGTCCGAGCTGCATTCGGTCTGCAGGGGCCATAGATGTGTGCATGCTAGCTAGTCTGCATATATGCATCATGTGCCGAATCGGGCTGGGTAATTTCAGACAACCTTCGAAGTTTCGATCCGCTGCCGGCATGCCGGAGAAAGAGTTCAAGATCCTAGATGGTGTGCGGCGGTGTGCTAGCACCGGTGAGCTGATCACCGGCAAGCAAGTGTTGCGGCCGCTCCGCTTCTTCGTGAGCGAAACTAGTCAGCATAAAAGTACTATCATGTGCAGCTAATCCCGACCCGATGCAGATCTCCGAATCCCAGGATTCGGCTTTGAAGATCGTTGCTGCCCTCCGCCCGGTGGTGGAGTCCCGGCTGGAGGATCTGAAGAAGGACAAGGCGACTCAATTGTAATAAGCTGGCATGTTCCGATTAATGTACGTGTACATTCTATAATTCGACAGTCTATGTACGTGTGCGAGAAACCGAGGAAACCCGCCTGGTAGACATCTTCGACACTAACATTTCGAAAGAAGATTTCACGTCGGAAAAGAACTTTAATATCATGAAAGTCTACGCGGCCCACCTCTTCAAAGATGTGCATGAGCGGAAACAGCTCATTTCGGCGACGGAGCACAGGGCGGCGGTTCTCTACTTAAGTTGCTGCTACAAGCTGCAGAATGTGGAGAAAAATTGCAAGCAGAAGGTGAAGGATTGGGCAGATGTCCAGGGCACGCGGCTACGCTGGCTGGCTGCATATGTCGTGCAGTCAGTCAGCAGAACGTGCCACGCAAGGACCGCCGGACCTGCATATTGTCTCATTAACTTATCTGAGCGATCCAACATGTACATGCATATATGTCGAATATCAGGAGCGATGAGATGTCAGTCCTTAAGGGCATCCACTTGGCTGTGAACGGCCGATCTCTTCCCGAGAAACCACAACGGAAACTGTCGGAGTCGAGTGTGAGCTCAGAGGTGCTTCCATAAAACATAGTACTATCTATTCATTACTATCTGTGTGTGTTTCCATGCATATCTTTCACGCGAACATAAGCCCGGCAGGTGCTCGATGTTATGGACGAGGATGAGGAGCAGGTGGACAAAGATCGTGATGGGATCTTTGAGATCTTCGATGATGATGATACCGATGGTGATGCTGTTGGGATCGCAGTTGTGGCTTCGTGCTTTTCGAGGTTGTGTGTGTTTGAGTTTGTGGTTTAAGCTTGTCGGACATCCAAGGTTACCGGTGAAGGTGGCCCGATGCCCGATGAGCTTTGCGAGGCTGAGGCCAGAGGTTTCGTGGTGCTGATGGGTTCCAAACATAAACTATTGTGCAGGACGGTCCGGGTCTGGATGCCGATTGCCCCCCTCCCGAGTCGCATGGCCAGGTGCAATTAGGTTTGGGTTGAGGGGTTCGTGGGTTTACAGTGGAGTTCCATCCGCAGCAGGCTGGGGAGCCCGATGATATTGACAACGACAGCAAGGATGCCCGTGAAGCCGACGAGGATAGCATAGTTTAACCGATCGATGATGAAGCATATCCGTAAATTGTATGTAAGTCCGATCCAGGAGACCATCCTACAGAAAGTCATGCTGAACCGGGAACCGGACTCACGGCTGCATTGCAATGGGGGTTCCAGTTGCTCACGGGTTTAAAACATATACTTCCTGTGTGTGTGCAGGAAACGCGGGGAATGGATGCCGATTGCCCCCGTCCCGAGTTGCATGACCAGGTCCAGAAGTAATTGTCTTTTATAGGTTGAAGGGTTTTCGCGGGCTTACTGGTGGGGTTCCATCCGCAGCAGGTCATCATCGATGACAGTGACAACGAAAGCGAGGATGCTCGTGAAGCTGACCAGGATAGCACCAGTACTGGTTTTAATCGTCAATAATATGTAGATTCTAGATCCGATCCTGCAGGAGACCATCCGACAGAAGGACTTGCTGAACCGGGAACTGGACTCACGGCTGCATTGTAATATTGGGGCCCCCAGATTATTCTTATATTGAGTCTTGAAAATCGTCAGATCTGCAGCTTTAAGGAGGACCGACGCAATCGACACGATGGGAGATTCAGGATTCAGGAGCTGCCCGACTGGCTTCTCAAGGACTGAATAACAAGGGGCCTTAAAATACGAGTCCGGTCCATCATCCATGAATCAAGTAATTTAGCAGCTGCATTTCTGCACGCGAGGGCTCCGAGTGCTCAAGTTCCTCGAGGGACGACCCTTGCACCCTTGTGCCTTGCACATGCAAGTTAGAGTCAGTAGAGTTCGCAGGTCAAGTATTATTGTCTGTACATAGGAGCTTGTGCCTTGTAACCGCTAGTTCACAGTTCCAATGCTCGTATTATAATATAACTAATGGGTACAGGTACATATACATGCTTGCATATACTGAGGCGGATGATTTGAACAGGATGCTTGCGGAAATGGACCTAGAGCTGCCGATTGCCGATCGCGAGATCGGGGACAGCTCTCAGCTTGTGCCTTTGATGCTAAGCAAACACTACTCATGATGCATTGCATGTTGGTGCAGCACTGTACATGTGGCTTGTGCCGTGTATATGTGCATGTATGTGTATGATCAGTATATGTGCACACATATATATATATATGTCTATCCATGCACTGCATGCTAACTAGTGACGATGACATAAACATCTGAGGCCTGCGACCAGGTGACTGCCGCGAGTGCTGGGATGGATTCTGTATCTTCGACTATTTAGCATAGTGTGATTGCACAGCTCTTTGCATTTCAACTTTCAGACGAGGCCGTAGACCAGGTAAGTAATTTCATTGCAACTGAGGGCATTCACACGTACCAGAAATAGCTCGCATACCTAAATTAGAAATTTGCTAACACAGCTGTGTTTGCATGTCAAGCTGCGACCGGGGTTCGAACCAATCAGCCTCAATGTTTGTTTGAATGGTTGCAATGTTGCTTTCATGCCTATATATAGTTCCTGTGCCTGGGTTGAAAGCAGGAATCCCCAAAACTTGCTTTAGGGCTTAGGGTTCTTGGGGTCTAGCGATCAGTGTGTGTTTTGGGCTGTGAGGGTTTTCGCCATCAGGGTTTATAACTAGATGTGTGAGGTTGACGTTAGGATCATCCGTGGCCCGTCCGAGGAAGCCCCCTAAGATAAGGTTTCAGTTTATTGGTAGCATCTAGGGTTTAGGAGGCTGTTGTTTTAGGTCGTTCGGGGTCGACCCCCTAAGATAAGGTTTCAGTTTTAAGGATAGCATCTAGGGCTTAGGAGGCTGTTGTTTTAGGTCGTTCGGGGTCGACCCGGAGGGAGGTTCAAGAATGCGCCGACAGAATCCTTTCCCGAGGACGCTGTGATTGCTCTGGATGATGATGACGGCACGAGTGCCGAGAAGGATCGTGTGCCTGGCCATGAATTGCATGCATACGTAAGTAATGGGCCGAAACACCAGACGGAGGTCTGAGTGCATGTGTGTTTGTGTGCTATTAATGTAAGCCGTATATTCGTGTGTAGAGTATATGCAGAATTTTGTGGCGGTCAGAACTTTTCCCTGAGTCCTTGTGGGATTTCAGCCAGGAAGCTCAAGAAGCTAAAAATCCAGGGCATCGGCATTGTTGGGATGGTTCAGATGCCTTCGTAGCTAAGGTTGCTGCTGCTCCGGAGCAAGGATCGATGGACCTGGTGCCTTGCTGCAACGTGGGGTTTATGTGCTTTCGCATAGGTATATAATATGATGGTCCGGTTTAATCTAAAATCTAAGGAATTGCCCGCCCCTCCTGCCGATGTGCAGATGGATGGAGTGCCCTTGAAGAAAAGGGTGTGTGTGTGTGTGTGGCTTTTCACGCGGGTGCCTTGAAAGCTACGTGGTGTGTGTGTGTGTGTGTGTGTGTTTTTGTCTCGAGGCCTAGGGTGTTGCATGTTCGTATGTAGGCATGGTAGCATGCTCAGGCCGCTACTGCGGCTACGGACATTGGTGATTCTACGATGGAGCTCGTGCCTTCGATGGCATGTCAGTGCTAGCAGTGCCGTTTCTATGCCCAAGTATACATCCTAGCATTTTTGTATGTAGGCACGGTAGCATCTCAGGCCACTACTGCGGCGGCGGACATTGGCGGTGATTCTAGCATGGAGGCCGTGCTTTCGATGGCTCATAAGACAATGCTAGGAGTGCCGTTTGTATGCCCGTGTATACATCCTAGCATGTTTGTATGTAGGGCATGCTTAGGCCACGACTGCGGCGACGGACATTGGCGATGATTCTAGGATGGAGCTCGTGCCTTCGATGGCATTATACATCCTAGCACATTTGTATGTATGCACGGTAGCATGCTCAGGCCACTACTGCGGCGACGGACATTGGCGATGATTCTAGGATGGAGCTCGTGCCTTCGATGGCATTATACATCCTAGCACATTTGTATGTATGCACGGTAGCATGCTCAGGCCACTACTGCGGCGACGGACATTGGCGATGATTCTAGGATGGAGCTCGTGCCTTCGATGGCATTATACATCCTAGCACATTTGTATGTATGCACGGTAGCATGCTCAGGCCACTACTGCGGCGACGGACACTGGCGGCGATGATTCTGGGATGGAGGTGCCTTCGATGGCAAGACACTATCTATATAGCTAGGAGTGCCGTTTGTATGCCCGTGTATTCAGCCTAGCCCTTCGGTTTCTTGGTACGTGTGTGTGTATGTGTGTGTGTGTGTGTGTCCACGAGCTCGTGTATGTGTGTGTGTGTGTGTGTGTGTTTGTGTGTGTGTGTGTGGGGGGTGCCCGTGTGGATTAATGTGACTGAGTGAGTATCATGAGTACGTATGTCTGTTAGTATGCATATGTCTGAATGTATGCCAAAAAAATAAGGTCTGTGTGTATATGTATAGTATATATATATATATATATGTATGCATGTATGTATGTCAAGTTTGCTCTAAATATCTATGCCCAGAAACAGGTGTATAAACATTTTTGTGTGTACATGTATATGTATCTGTGTGTGTGTGTGTCTCCGTGTGATTGTGTGTGTGTGTGTCTGTTTGGTGTCCACCTGTCTGTGTCTCTCTCTCCCTCTCTCTCCCTATAACACTGCAACCTGAATCCTAAACCCCTAAACCTTACATAAAATCGCCGGTTCGCTGCAGGTCCCGCGGACCAGTTGCAAGAGAAAGCTGGAGAATGACTTGAACGCACCCCGGCCCATATCGAATCAAAAGCGCCATCTTAGCTAGGGTACCTGGTCCTTCTCGAGAATTTATAAATTCCCAGGAAGCAGATGATATCGATGCCGAAGTCCCCGCCAATGCAGAGGCAGCCATCCAAAGCCTTGCACGAGTTTCCATGGTACTGTACCCAATAATCAGACTCGATCGAAAGGTGCCAGCCCCGAACGAAGCCCCTCGTGTAAGCAACGGTGCCTACAAGGAGGGGAGCTTATAATGGCTTTCGGGAACATTACATATCGGATGTGCTAAAACTCTTTCCGGCAGGACAGGGCACCGCTGATCGACCCCGCCACGGTGTTGCCTCTTCCTGCTGGACTGGACGTGCCAGTTGCAGCTGCAGACGGCGGATTTGCTGGCCTGCGGGGGAAGCAAGCCGATGCTCGCGATACGCATCGCAAGGAGTGGGACTTTCGAGTTTTGGGTCAAGGCCTACTGAAGTATAATATGTAAGTTCGGGGTGTGTAGGCGGGTTGGTATAAAGATGCATACAAATCAGGGCAAGGGTGTCTTTTGTGCATGCTCTGCATGCTTTAGGTTGCAAATAGGTTTAAAGCTTGGGGTGTGTAGGGTTCGTATATATATATATATATATATATATAGTACTAGTATGGTTCTGCAGGCTTCAAAATAGTATATAGTATCGATTTATATGTATATATATATATATATATATAGATCATGGGAATACACAATGACAAAACTTGGGATCTATATATATATATATATATATATGTATATATATATATATATATATATATATATTATTAGCATAT